CACCTCACACCCTGAGAGGGCCTGGCTGGCCTGGGCAGCATAGAAGAGGGACTCCACGTTGCTGGGATCAAGTTTAGATTTGATGAAGGTGCAGGCCTTCTAAACAGAGAAAAAGCCAAGGCTGAGCGGTGACACACAGTGACTGGGGAAAGCTGAGGCGGTTTTTACTTCAGTAAAGTTTTAAGCTGTCCATTAAGGTTTCCAGGACACCTAGGGTCAGTGTGCCTGTCATTCGTGAGCACTCAAAATGGTGAAACATTGCCCTGAGTGCCCCAAGTGCACGATTCATTCAATCCCCACTCAAACTTGATGTCTTAAGTTTATTCCAGCCCTTAGGGAGGTGAAGAAGCAAGCAGACCAGGCTCGCTCTGCCGTCATGCTAGAATGCAAAGCCAGGTCACTAGCCTACCTACACCCATCTCCCCGGAGATCACCCATAGTGATCTGCTCGGGAGGGGAACCAGCAACACCCCTGCTGCACTGCTTAGCAAAGGTAAGCCCAGGGGAACAGTAGCAGTGTTCAGCGTCCAAGCTCAAGATGCTGAAAGCCTCGTCCCACCAGCCACGCAGAGCAAGCCCGGGAGGCTCGAGGAGAGCATGTCCAATTGCAGCAGACTCAGCCCTGCGTGGACACCCCAACATGGACACTTCTCTCTAACTCCCTCCTCCTAACCCACCTTCAAGTCCTACGTAAGAGATTTTCTTTCCATCTCCCTCGCCAATGCCTCTGCTTCCTCTGAGAATGGGCTATGTAATCTCTTGAGACACTGTGACTACAACTCAGCAATACCCTGCCAAGAGCACTCATCCCAGACCTACTTGTCACACTTCCCCTCCCATACAACTGCCAGCTGCTCCAAACAAATGCAAGGTGCTATTCCAGGATCCAGGCTCCCCACAGGCTGCTCTCCAACTAGAATCCTGTCCTCTCACTGCTTCAACTCTCCTCCCTACACAGTTAGCGTTTAGACCATTTTAACTAATTCAAGACTTATTTTAAAGAGCCTGGTGTGGTAGCACAGTGGCTAAAGTCTTCACATTGCACGCCTGGGATCCCATATGGGTACCAGTTATAACCCTAACAGCCCCACCTTCCATGCAGCTCCCTGCTTGTGGCCTGGGAAAGCAGTTAAGGACAACCCAAAGCCTTGGGACTCTGCACCCATGTGGGAGATCCGGAAGGAGCTCCAGGCTCCTGGCCTTGGATCCACTGAGCTCTACTGTCAACACGTATGCACCTGGAAGCAAATGCTCCTCCTTGCCCCAACAAGCACCCGGCCTAGCAATACCTTCCTTCTGAGATGACATACTAGACAGACAGTCAAAGAAAGATCACCCAGGTTTCTGACCTACAGGACCATCACTTAATAAATGGGTGGGTTTTAATAAGATCTTTATTTAGTTCAAAAGCAGCGTTACAGAGACAGAGATCTTCCATCCTCTGGTTCACTCCCCAAATGTTTGCAATGGCCAGAACTGGGTCAGGCTGAAGCCAGGAGCCTGCAACTCCATTCAGGTCTTCCATGCGGGTGGCAGGGCCCAAGGATTCAGGTTTCCATTGCCTTCCCAGGCACATCAGCAAGGAGTTTGATCAGAACTAGAATAGCCTGGCCTCTAACAGGTGCCCACACAGGATGTCAACACTGCAGGCAGTGGTTTTAGTCTGTCCTGCCACAATGCCAGCCCTCTGTCACTGTTCTAGGAGCTGTGTATGCTCTCCACTCTGAATTCCTTTATTAGCAGCCATGCATCCAGGAAACTTAACAAACATATATGATACGAACAGATCCACAGAGCTTCCAGAGGACTGTACTGCTTTATATCGTGCTAAGAGACATCTGGCCCGTTCCTATACCCATAGGAGGCATTCTGGAAAAATCCATCAGATGGAAATAAACACAGCTTGTCAGGAACACACCTTTGGTCATCCTCTATTGAGCCAGAGTTCATTTCAAAATATTCAAAAGGGATGTGCGGCGGGGATGAAGGTTCACTCAGGCCCCGAGACTCACGTGGACTTACCTTGGCATCTGGCACCTGGGCACCAAGGCTGCTTAGTCCCACGATGGAGTAGAAGGCAGACTGCAGATCTGTGAAAGGGCGGTCCAGTGATGCTTTCAGTCTCTCCACATCATGCTGGCTGAGGTAGTGTGTGGGCGTCAGAGCCTGGCCACCAACTAGGATGGTCAAGGCCAACAGCATGACAGTGCTTAAACCTGGGGCACACACACACAAAAAAAAACGTTCACTATGCTGTTCTCTATAAGAGCTCCAGGAATGAGGCATGCCCCTCTCCCAGACAGTGCCTGCGCACCCCGAGGGAAGGGTGAGGGAACTGGGGAGGCTTAACCAGAAGAGGAGCTGGGTGGGGGGAAGACCTTCCTGCAGCTATTTCAAGGACATCACGGGCCCTCAGCTCTCCAGGAAGACCAGATGCTAACTCCTCATCACGCCCTGCCAGTTTCGACCTCTCCCCCACTCTTCCATCTACTCTCCTGCCTCCTCTAGGCGTTTACCAAGATCCACGTTCTCCTGGTTCCTTTCTGCTCAGCAGCTGTGCATGCCATCCCCTACACTTCAAGCTGTGCTTTCAGATTTCAGCTTGCCCCAGCCCTCTTGAACAGTCCTCCCTTGGGTTAGGTCCCTGGGACAGCAGCGAAGATCAAGCGTCTGATTGGGCTAACCAGCAAGTTAACCAGCCAAGCTGGTGGCCCAGCCTCTTCAAAGTATAAAGTAGGGTAGCAATAGGACCACAGGGGTGCTGGCAGGAAGACAAGAGTGAAATCAGAAAGATTTTAGAACAGTGACAGGCATGAAACCACCACCAAGTTAAGGCCAGAGCCCTTTTTGCAATAGATACTGTTGCTGTGGCATCCACCTGTGACCACTGGCACTTTTCCTGTGCAGGTCTGATGTCTCTGCTCAACTCAAGTTCCATGAAGACAAAGGCTGGGTCCCTTTATGTACCCCAACATTTTCAGACCTTGCAAACTGCTGGACACCACCCAGGAGCTACTGAACTATCTGCTGAGTTAGATGGAAAGTGAACTGGATCTCTATACAAGATGCCCCCTGGGGAAACAATAAAACAGCAGAAGCGGAATCTCTCTACTTTCCATCTAAAGGAACAAGAGCCAAGAAAATTCTGGAACGAGATGCTTTAGGGTTATGTGAACTGTCTGCCACCCAAGTGGCAGCGATGACAAGGAGCCACGAGGCTGACAGTAACACTCCTAAATCCTTTGTCCATGGGGTTAAATTAGCTTGTCTGTGTAATAGACAAATAAAACAAATTCGACAACTGAGGCGCAGGGCATCTTACACAAACCTAGCCTAGGACACAGACGGTTGTTTAACAGGACCAAGTTCATATCCTGCTATTTATGCGAGAGATGTCTGTATTAGCGATTATGCAAAGAATGTTTTTCTTCTGTTAGTTTTCTTAAATCTGTCATGTTAACCTAAAATTATCAAAGCTCTTTTTAAAAAAAAAGCAGATCTGTAATGTCAAGTGTTCACCAAATATATATTCAGTGCTACTACGTGTCAAGCACCCTTTTAAGTTGCTAGACATACAGCAGCCAACAGAACCCAACAGCCAGCTACCTCTGGAGTTTATGCACTACATGAAGTTATTAAAAACTACTACTGCGCATGTCAAAAGGTATCAAGTGCACAGAAGGGCTACATGGGACAGGCTGTATCTTACATGTGATGGACCGTGAAGGCCTACAGGCAATTAAATATGCCACATTCAGTCCTGAGGCAGCAGCAAATCACCGCTTTGTGGGTGGAAGCTACCCCACAAAAAGCAAGTCCAAACAGTCTAGATAGATGGGGTTTTCTGAGCTCTGCAGGACTGTGGAGAAGCAAAGGGTGACAATCAGGAGATGAGGTGACACGCAGGGCGCGTGCCATGGAGGTCCGTGGAAGACCCCGCAGGGACACTGGCTTCAGCCAAGCAAGATGAGAGTCACAGAGAAGTTCTGAGCACAGTGTGACCTGACTAACATCCTAACCCGGGTCAGTGTGTGGAGAACAGAACGTACCTGAGCAAGGGCAGAAAGAGGAGAGACTGCTGTCGACCCTGACAGACGACACGCGTCTGACCCGCAGGGGATGCGGTGAGACGCGGTCTATTCCACAGGGAAATGGAAGAAAGACTGAGAAGCTAAAGCCGGATCCCCGGCGCCTGCGTGCCTGACTGACATCACGCTCTGGCCAATAATAACTAGCATTTCTCCAGCTCAACACTTCTATGTCAGAATCGGAGTCCCCCCACCTTGGAGGAACGACAGCAGTTGACATTTTGGATTCAAATCCCAGGACTTCATCCCACACCAAGCAACGGGCGTGCACACGGCCACCGAATCCCTCAGCACATGCCAGTGACCTGGGTGCTTCCCGTCTTCTGCAGAGAAACTGAGGCTGAGAGTGGTCACCGGAGTGAGACATCAAACTGCAGGCTGTCAGAACCCAAAGCCTGTGGTGTTTGTTTTTTCTTCTTAACGGATTCCTCAAATCACTATTCATTGTGCTACCTTGGGAGAGTTAAGGTCCCTTCTCATCTGTCACTCAGAAACAAGAGCACCCACTTCTTTCTCACAGACAGCAGGCGAAAAGACATTGTGTCCACTGCTCAAGCACCAAGGCCATTAAATTTCCCTGAGTGTCCCCAAGGATGCCGTGCGCTGATCTGTAAACCACGCCGGTAACAGCCACTCCAGGAGGCGGACCATGTCTGCAAGTCTGCACCCAGCCTCACTTCCCAGAGGGAGGCAGTGGTTTCCTCGCCCCCTTTCCCTCGAAGAATAAATGAAGTGGTCGAAGGACGGAGATCTGGCCAAAAGCTCACAAGAACTTAACAGACGACATGGGCACCAGATCTTAAGACGGCCCGGCGCGAGAGCCCGAATGAATGAGTGAAGGCCGGGAATGGGCCTCAGAGGCACCCGTAGCCCAGCGTTACGCATCCCAGCACCCCCAGAATCCCCCCAGCCCCCCAACAGACGCGGACGACTCCCTCCCAACTCGGAGCCCTCTTGCCGACCCTCAACCTCGCCAAAAGCCCGCGGCCCATGTCCCTGCCCCGCAGGGGAAGAGGGCCCCGCCTGGCCGGCTCCCGAGTGACGGGTACCACCGGTCCGCGGGCTACAGCCCTCTCCCCGCAGCGGGCCGGCCGCGGGGCCCAGGCGCTGAGCCATGCGCAACGCCTCACCCGGCGGCGCCATTCCTCCCAGCAGGTCCCGCCGGAGCCCCAGTCTCAGGCTGACTTCCGCTCGGGCAAGTGGCTCTTCGAGCGAGCCGGAGGGGACGCCAGGGACTCGCGACAAGCCCTGCGTGCCGGGATAGGCTCCAAACACAGGTCAGTCTCCGAAGTCACACGGGACCTGGCCGCTCTGGGCCGCCAAAACCAGGACGCTGACCCTCGCGCGCCGTCAGCCTCGCGGGAGCGGCGTCCAGCCTAGCCCGCTCCCCCACCCCTGCGCCTGGGCCCACTTGGAATAGCCCGTTCGCAACGGTCCAGTTCCGGGCGCTGCCGGGATTCGATAGGACGAGGCCTGCAGGTGGGCCGGAGACGGGGCCGCGTCTGATTGGTCCGTGACGTTGATTGGCTCTTCGCGCTGTCACTCATTTGTTGCCTTGCAGCCCGGCTAAGTTGAAGCGACCCGGAAGGGAGCGGTGGGGAGGGGGAGCTTGCTAACCAGAGGCTGTCGTTTCGGTTATTCGTGAAGGAACCTTGGGTGACGCTTTTCCTCACGGTAACCCTTAGGAGCGTGCGAGTTTTAATCCAGTTTTATAGGCCCCAGGTTCAGTTCCTTAGTCGCACTAGCTACATGTTAAAGTGCTCGGTAACTCGTGGACGTCATATTGCCCTACGTGAAATTTACCACAGAAAGTTCGATCGGGCAGTGGTGAGCTAGACTATGTAAAGAACTATCCGGGAGACTCGACTGCTGAATTTTCCGAAAACTCTGCCAGTTGGTTCAACACAGCCATTCACAAGACGAAAGTACGTGGGCTTATAGTGCAGGAGGGCAGGTTTCAAGGCCCAACACCTGATTTCCTGATTCCTGCGCTGCTGTGGTTGTTGTATGACTTATATTACCTGACTCCATTGCGGGGCCCCCCTCTTCCCGAAACAGCTGTGACAGCTTAATTTGGAAACATCCTGGAAGTGTTTATACCACAAAATCAGTGAATACTATGAACCAGGGCCTTGTTGATTATCTCAACATAATCATGGAGCCAAAGTCCATAGGAATGTAAAGTGTGTCAAGTCGCCTTTACATTGTGAATGGCACAAAAAATTCGAGAACATATTGGAGTATTCAAGAAGTGTGATCCGGTTCAGAGAAGCAGTCACTCCCCAGTTTCAGTACTTGTCTGGGTGGTTTCAAAGCAATGTTTTCTGTCATGTGAAACTTAACCCTGTCAGGAGCAGGCACTGCGATACCGCGGGTTAGATTGCCTGTTGCAGTGCCTGCGTCCTGTCTCAGATATTGGGCTTCCCATTCGGCTTCTTGCTAAGTGTGCATCCCGGGAGGCAGCTGATGCTGGCTGGTGAAGGACCTGGGTCCCTGCCAGCCACGTGGGAGACTCGGGTTGAATTCTACACTACTAACCTTTGGCCCCAACCCCAAGTGCTGGAGGCCTTTGGGAATGTGAAAGAGGAGTTGAAAGATCTTTCCTTCTCTCTCCTTCTGCCTTTCAAAGAAAATACAAATAAACTGCCACTAATAGCAAAGGTTGGCAAAGATTGTGAGCCGCAGAACCCTCCACAATACGCTAGTGGAAATGGAAAATGGTATAACCATTTTGGAAACAGATCAGCAGCTTCTTAAAAAAAGTCAGTTACACAGTTCATTGGTTCTCAGTCCTAGAAAGTTTATTTGTTTCTGTTTAAGTTTTTTTGGTTGGTTGGTTAATGCAACATACACACGAGAAAAAAAATTTCAAACATCATTGTTTGAGTGTTTTCCCAAAATTGCTTTACTTAATACTGACTAAATGAAAATAAAAAGTGTTTGTTCCAAGCATTTATTAGGAAATGAATAATGCTGTTGGGCCCAGAGTGATAGCCTAGCAGCTAAAGTCCTCGCCTTGAACACACCAGGATCCCATATGGGCGCCGGTTCTAATCCAAGCAGCTCCACTTTCCATCCAGCTCCTTGCTTGTATCCTGGGAAAGTAGTCAAAGACAGCCCAAAGCCTTGGGACCCTGTACCCACGTGGGAGACCCGGAGGAAGCTCCAGGCTCCTGGCTTTGGATCAGCTCAGCACTGGCTGTTGTGGTCACTTGGGGAGTGAATCATTGGATGGAAGCTCTTCCTCTCTGTATATCTGCCTTTCCAAAAAAAAAAAAAAAAAGAAAGAAAAAAGGGTGATGATGCTGCAGTGTGTCTGTGCTGACCTCAGCACAACTGTGAAGCTCTCTAAGTGTTACCTGTTACCGAGATCCTCATCCTGCCAGTGAGATGGTTTTCTTGTTTTTATTCCTGTTTTATTCTTGTTTTATACCTGTTTAATGCTTAGCAGTGTGTGTAGTCTTGCATGTTTATTCACTTTATGGAATATATAACATGTTTTTCCATGTTTTTCCCCTCCTTGATATTGTGAGATTTATGTTTTGTTGTATAAAGATAGAAGTCTTTAATTTCACACCTCCTGTATAGTTCCTTATTGCGTAAATATGCAGTAGCTTATCTATTCTGTTGATGGGCTGTTGGGAATCTACTTTTTTTTTTTTTTGCTGATAGAACTAAATCTGTAAAGATTTGTTGCACATGTTCCTAGTGCACAGGTGTAACAGTTAGAAATGGACTGTATTGACTAGTGAATCACTGCATGTACACCTTCAGCACAACTCACTAGTGTAAGTATTTTCACAACAGCTGCACCAATTTATGACACCAACTGCAATTTAATTTTTTGTTCTCTGATCTTCACTAAACATTGAATAAGCACAGATCCTCTCAGTGATTCAGTCTCCTGGTATTTTAAAGATTTTTTAAAATTCTTATTGGAAAGTCAGATATACAGAGAGGAGGACAGAGGCAGAGAGGAAGATCTTCCATCCAATGCTTCACTCCCCACGTGGCCACAATGGCCAGAGCTGAGCTGATCCAAAGCCAGGAGCCTCTTCCAGTCTCCCAAGCAGGTGCAGGTCCCAAGGCTTTGGGCCATCCTCTACTGCTTTCCCAGGTCACAAGCAGGAAGCTGGATGGGAAGTAGAGCATCTGAGAATACAAACCAGTGTTCATATGGAATCATGGCAGTGCAAGGCTAGGACTTTAGCCACTAGGCTACTGGGCTGGGCTGTTCAACGTGTGTTTTTCTAATGAGATACTTAATTTCTTTATTTTTTGTTAAAAGAGACACATTGACAAATATTATCTGTCCTTCACTTTACTCCTTAAATGCCTGCAACAGCCAGGTACCTGAAAGTCACTCTAGGTCTCCCACGGGAGTGACAGGGACCATGTGCTTGAGCCTCACCTGCTACCTCCCAAAGTGCATATCAGCAGGAAGCTGGAGTCCGAAGCTGAGCCAGAGCTCTGGGCATCCCTCATGGTGTCTTAACCCATGTGCCAAATGTCCACTCCTCCGGTGGGATGTTAGCAGCCACATAGAGTTTCTTACTTAGCCATTCATTCCCCCACAAGACTGGCAACATGCTGAGAGTTAGAGATAAAACTGTGACCACATAGACGAAGTTTCTTCTCTAGTGGGGCTTATGATGAGAGGAGAGAGACGCAATTAGACACAGCCATTGTAGGAGATGAGTAAATACCACAAAAGAAAATAAGAAGGCAACTGTGGGGTGGAGTGCGTGGAAGCTGCTCAATTTAGGTTGATCATCAGTAAATGTCATTTGGGCCAGGGGTTTCACTCCACCTACATTGCATATCATAGTGCCTGGGTTCAGCTCCCAGCTTCACTCCCCATTCCAGCTTTCTGGTAATGTGCATCCTGGGAAGCAGTGTGGGAGGCAGTGGAAATGGCCAGTGCTGGGTTCCTGCCACCATATAGGGGCTGAAGATGTAGCCCTGATTCTTGGCTTCAGCCTGGATGTTGCTGGCGTTAGAGAAGTGAACTAGCAGGTGGAAAATCTCACTTTCTGTCTGTCTTCGAAATAAAACAGATAACAAATAAGTTCCTCTCTGAAAAGCTGACATTTAGGCTTGCAGTTGAGTACGATTGAAACAACCTTGAAGAACTCTTTCTCCCTTCTTCCTTCCCAGGGTCTGTGGTCGGGAAGATGTAGTGATCCCTTGTGTTTCTGACGATTCAGGAAGTGTGGATTTGCAGCTGAGCAGTATAGAGGATATTAAAAACCGCCCAAGTAGCGTTGAAAATACAGGTGAATGGGGCAAAGGCAAGGTGGGGGCAGGGGGAAGGAACTCTGCTGCCATCAAGCATGAGGCAATGACTGAGTGTTGCCTGACCAGCCCTTGAACTAGACTGACAATGAATTTGATCCCTGACTGAGATCCTGGAATATTATTGGCAAAACAAGAAAAGATACGTTATTACATATACTAAGGAAACTAAGCCTGATCCTGGGATAGATCATATCACAACCTGCCACAAAGCCTGAATGCTTGAGACGTTCTGAGAAGGGACAGGCAGGTGTATGGTGACACAGAGCGGAACACTATTCAGAAGGCCTTCCAGTTGCCTTACAAATGGCTCATGAGTATCTCATGTTGGGCATAAGACAGTGTGACCCACATGGTTCCAAACCATACACATAGAGTACTTAAAGTGATTAGAAGTGGTGGTCAGCACGGTGGAAGAACTAAATGAGAGGCTGAGATGAAAACATAAGGGAGATGGAAGCTGCTTTCAGCTGCGGCTGTCAGGTAACACCTATGTGAGGTAGCCCTGTCATCTCCTAGCAGAGAAAGAATGAAAGAGCAGCCCGTGTGGCAGGTACAGGGAAGAGCATCCCAGGCCGATGGGACGGACAGCATGCACATGCAATGGGAAAGATTCCCGCGTGTCTGAGGAATCACATTCGTTCACGCATACATTCATTCAGCAAACACCAAAGCCTGATCTTGTCACAGTGAACAAAAGACATCCGCGTATACAGATTAACAAGCAAGTGGAACTCAGTGTGATGGGCCTGAGTGCAGAGTGCAGAGCAGCTTAGGAGTGTATTTATTCATGGCTAGGGGTATATTTAGCCAAAAAGGGTCAAGAGGAGCCTTTGGAAAGTGTCCTGCAGATAAAAGCTGCAACCATGCGGAAAGGCAAAGCAGCAGTAGGATCAGCAACAAAGGGGACAGCCGGTGCAAAGGTCAGAGGTAACCAAGAATGCAGGTCCAGTTGTTACAGTTAGTAGTTGATCAGGATTTGGCATAGAGTGGGAGGGGTTTGCAGAAGAGGCTTTCAGGAAATATAGAAGAATAGAGAATTGAAATCCTCACATGACGGGGCCAGCAGGTTAGGCTGCTGCTGGTGATGGTTCTGGTTTCTCAAGTCCTGACTGCTCCACTTCAGATCTGACTTCCTGCTAATGTACTTGGGAAGGCAAAGGAGGATGACCCTGCCACCCACGTGGGAGCCCCAGTCGTGGCTGCTAGCTTTAGCCTGGCCCAGACCTAGCTGGTAAAACCATTTGAGGAGTAAACAACAAAAATATTTCTCTTTCTCCCTCTCCTTCTTTGTTTCTCTTTTTCTCTTCTCCTTGTCTCTGTCATCTTCTTTGTTTCTCTTTTTCTTTCTCCTTGTCTCTGTCATTCCATCTTTTTTAAAAAAAGATTTATTTACTTTTATTGGAAAGGTAGATTTATAGAGATATGAGAGACAGAAAGATCTTCCATTTGTTGCTTCACTCCACAAGTGGCCACAAGCCTGAAGCTAAGGCAATCCAAAGCCAGAAACCAGGAGCTGCTTCTGGGTCTCCCACACGGATGCAGGTTACAAGGACTTGGGCTTTCCTCTGCTGCTTTCCCAGGCCATAAACTGGTAACTGGATGGGAAGTGAAGCAGCTGAGACATGAAACAGCATCCATATGGGATGTCTGCACTTGCAGGTGGAGTATCAGCCAATTGAGCCATCATGCCAGCCCCCATTCCATCTTTCAAATAATAGTTCAACTCCCCTCCAAACTTGTGTCCCTTCACATAATGCTGGAGGCCAGCTGCAGCCGAGTTCAGACCTTGAGAAGGATGTGTGGAGTTGGCGAGGAGAAGAGACACAGATACAATGACTTCATGCCCTAGCCTGAACGGCTCAAGAAGCTGTCCTTTTTATTTACTCAGACACATCACAAGCCTCTGCACAAACGTGATTGTTCTGTATTTAACTTCATGACTAAGTGGGCATCCACAGATGTTTGATAATTTTTATTTTTTACTTCATGATTAACCAGGTGCTTTTAAGACACTAGAATCATTTTTTTTTTCAAAGCAAACCCTTATCCATTCTTTAGTAGTAGTCACACAGCCATTTGATTATTTTTTTTACTTCATGATTATGTAAGTGTTCTTAAAGATAATTCTGTAAGATACTGTAATCATTTTTCTTCAAAGCAAACCATTACTCATTCTTTAGTATTAGCCATTGGGTGACGGGCAGGACTCCAAGGACAGGGTACATGCAATTACATCTTAATCAGTAATACATTCCTACTACATTTCTATTTCTATAACTTATCTATCACTCAAAGGGGGAAAGACATCAAAAGGGAAAAAAAAAGATCCAAGACAAAAGTGTCAATATTAAATCCCCTTACAACTACGGACCAATTGTACTCCTGTATGAATTAATTCTTATGAATTCTTAAAGGCCCACTCACCAAGGCATTGTCAGTAACATTAACTTCTAAGCTCGCATCAGTTGCAAAAACCATCTTACAAGGGCATACAATAATGCCTCAGTAGATTACAGAATTCTTAAATGGGGTGGTTGAGTGTCCATGCAAAGGGGATGAAACTGTGTTAAGGTGGTGGGAGGGAGGTCTGCCGGCCTTGCCTTACAGCTGGAAACTCCTCACAGGCTTGCCAAAGGGAAGATGTTCTCTTTACACCTTTGTGTCATCCACACCCACTCACTGCATAGACCTCAACAATGGAGCATGGCAGCATCATTCAGTGTCTGTCTTCTGATATTAGATTCAGACATCTCCGACTTCCCTGGACTCCCTCCAGAGCCCCTCTCAGACAGCTTCAGTTCCATGGCCTGTCCAGGACCTCTCCGTGAGATCGTCATTGACACGTTGATCGACTCCATTAAGGAGGGATTGAATGGTGACTTAAAGGTATGTACAGTGAACATTACAAGTCACCCAGCTTATCCATACCTCCCAGTGTTTTAACTGTCTCTTGTATTTAACTATCTCTTGTGTTACAGTATTTATCTAGTATTTAAATTATTATGTTGTAAACTGTTAAATTGTGTTAAATTATCCCCCAAGAATTTCAAACCTATTTGTACAATCTCCAGTAAAATATAGTAAATGTATTAAATTAAATACTTACATAGTAAGCACGCGGTGGCCTAGCGGCTAAAGTCCTCGCCTTGAACGCGTGGTGATCCCATATGGGCGCCGGTTCTAATCCTGGCAGCCCCGCTTTCCATCCAGTTCCCTACTTGTGGTCTGGAAAAGCAGTCAAAAGCCTTGGGACCCTGCACGCTCATGGGAGACCTGGAAGAAGCTCCGGGCTCCTGGCTTCAAGATCAGCTCAGCTCCGGTTGATTCCCTGAAATCTCTCCAGTCTATTCATTCCAAACAATAAAAGATCAATACCTTATTGCCTCCGATGCTAAATGTTTAATATATTGCAAGATACTTTTCAAAAGTCTTAATGTCAGATTATAATGTATGTGTTAATCATTTTTCTGCAAATTCAGGATGAACATGAAAAGCTGGCATTCCTAAGATCTTTGTCTTCTCTCTGCCAAAATTTACCCTATGATGAAACCACAGAGTCCTTCATTCACAGCCACCTGGTGGACATTGTGCATGTCCTCAGTGTAAGTATTGTGGCATCTCTCTGGTTGTTATGTCTTGGGGGTTTCCTGCCAGCCAAAAATAGTGTTCTGTGCCCACAAGAACCACCGAGACAGTCTGATCGAGCATGTCTATTGTAAAGCAAGCACAAAGTTATAGACTAGGAAAGAGGAAGGCAAAAGGGTGTTTCCTGATAATCCTCCCACTCAACAATGACACTGTAATTGGCTAAAAGGCATGTCTATCTTTCTGGACCCTCCTGTAACGTCACAGATCATGTGCAACATGGCTGGCTGGCAGTTATGCCTTCAGATCACAGCAGGTAGGCTGTGAGTCACATACAACACATACACTGGAAGGTATGCCTCAGGTCACATTCACCACACATGACTGGCAGGTAGGCTATGGTTTGCATTTGGCTTCTTAGAATTGTTTATCAAGAAAGTCTCAGTACAGCTCATCCAAGGATAGAGAGGAGACACAGGGGTGCAGCTCACTGCTCTTGTCTGCATGACCAGTGAACAGGCCAGATTGAGGTAGGCTAAGCAGGCAGAGATCAAGGGGTGATCTTCCCAAGTTGTACCCATATAAGCTTGGTGACCTGGACAACAACAACAAAAAAGTTCTTGGCAGCTTTACCAACATTATAAATTCCTCAGACTGTTTTCACGTCTCCTCTGTATGGAGGAGGAATACTCAAGAGTACCCTACAAATATAGTCACCCTTGAAAACCAGTTAAAAGAATTTAAAAAAAGAGAGAGAGAACAGCATTTAGCTTTCTCATTGAGACCAGTGATGCTTTCTCAGGGCTCATTATAGTTTGGAAGCAGACTATAATAAAATGCAGAGGTTTATAAACATTTCTGCTCTACCTGGTCCCTCCCTAATATTTGTTTATATTCACAAGGCAGTGCAAGAGGCAAGCAGTTCCATTGACAATTTCACAAGAGCAGGAATGTTGGGGGCATCACAGAGAGGAAACGTGCACACATTTACCATCCGCTCACAATCCACGCCAGTGTCTGGATCTTCAGTGTTCACATGAAAAGAGCCAAGGATGCCAGAAACAGAATGGAAAGGATAAGGATACACCTGTGCTACAGTTTCATAAGATTAATAATTACATACATGGAAAGCTAGCCCATCACTATGATAGGAAGAAGCAAATTAACGCCCCGCCCAAAAGGCCCAGCACCACAGCCTAGTGGCTAAATCCTTGCCTTGCATGCACTGGGATCCCATATAGTGCCAGTTCCTACTCCACCTGCTCCACTTCCCTTCAGGCTCCCTACTTGTGGCCTGGGAAAGCAGCAGAGGATGGCCCAAAACTTTGGGACCTTGTAGCTGTGTGGGAGACCTGAAAGAAGCTCCTGGCTCCTGGCTTCAGATCAGTACAACTCTGGTCATTGCGGTCACTTGGAGAGTGAACCAGTGGACTGAAGATCTGTCTCTCCTTCTCTCTGTAAATCTGCCTTTCCAATAAAGAATAAATAAATCTTCTTTAAAAAATCAACATAACTTCTACCAGACTGGACAAAAAAAAGAAGAGAGAGAATAAAAATAAAGGAAATGCCAAACATTGGTGAAGTTGAACTTGTGGAACAGCCAGAACTCTTATGCATTGATGTGATGGGAATGTTGGTAGAATGGCATAGCCACTTTGGAAAACAACTTGCTGATTTTTTTGTTAAGATTTATTTTTATTGAAAAGGCAGGAGTTACAGAGAGAAGGCAGAGAAAAAGGTCTTCCATCTGCTGATTTGCTCCCCAAGTGGCAGCAGCAGCCAGAGCTGAGGCAATTCAAAGCCAAGAGCTTCTTCCAGGTCTTTCACATGGCTACAGGGTCCCAAAGCTTTGGGCCGTCCTCCGCTGATTTCCCAGGCCATAAGCAGGAAGCTGGATGGGAAGTGGAGCACTGGGACACAAATCAGCACCCAAATGGGATCCCAGCGCTTGACAACGGAGGATTAGCTAATTGAACCATTGCAGTAGACCTGCCAATTCCTTAAAAAGTTAAATTTACTTATAACCATATTCCACTCTTAACTAAAGTAATGTCTGTTTCCATCCAAAGATGTAAACCCTTATGTGAGCCACACATTGGAAACAACCCAGATTTCCATCAACAGATGACTCTATAAACAGTTTGTGTTATATCTGCACGATGAGATATTGCTCAGGAATGAAAAGAAAGGAATTGTTTATGTGCACTATAACTTAGGTACATTTCAAAATATTTATGCCTAGTGAAAGAAGTCAGACCCTAAAAAAAGCTTATGCTATGTGATCCTGTTTATACAAAATTTTAAAAGCCCAATTAAAATCTGGAAGATTCAAGCTAATATAATAGTGAATATTTGTTACCTAGGAGTAAGAGCAGAATAGAGAGCAGCAAGAAGGAGGCTTGGCCTACTATGCCACAGTGCTGGCCTCTGGACTGACTTTTAAATGCCACAATTCTAGGTGTGGTTGTAATTTGAGAGACCATGTCCCTGAAATAACCCAGGGAGAGCTGTTAATACTGAAGACAGTCATGCTCCGTCCTTTTTAGGCTATAAAGCTATAATCATCAATGAACTCTTTGAAGAAATAAGTAAAGGAAGAAAAGCAGAAGGGAATCAATAAACAGGGTCTGAGTCAGCCCAGAGCTGAAAAATGAGAAGAAAGGAAAGGGTCCCTAGGAATGCTTTATTGAGACCCGCTGGGATCCCATACGGGCGCCGGTTCTAATCCCGGCAGCTCCACTTCCCATCCAGCTCCCTGCTTGTGGCCTGGGAAAGCAGTCAAAGATGGCCCAATGCTTTGAGATGCTGCACCCACGTGGGAGACCTGAAGGATGCTCCTGGCTCCTGGCTTCGGATCGGCACAGCACCGGCCATTGTTGGGGAGTGAATCATCAGACAGAAGATCTTCCTCTCTGTCTCTCCTCCTCCTCTGTATATCTGACTTTGTAGTAAAAATGAATAAATCTAAAAAAAAAAAAAAGATAACAAATTGCCATACACCAGAATTTTCTGACAATTTCTTGTCTTTGCTCTTTTATATATGTAGCCCCTTCTGTGCTACCTTGTCTAAAAGGACTAAAGCTTGCCAGAGTTCTGTTTTCCTCCTTTAGAAGATTAGGCCAGCATTGAGATTGAAGCCTGCTGTGGCTTGACCAGAAGTTGGTTCTCCAGTTTAATCCCCAAAGTCGAGGGTTAGTGGTGCCAGCAGGTTGGGTGCTTGATCTAAGTCTGACATTTAGGAAGTAGGAGTGGTGGGAAGTCCCAAGGTCATAGGAGGTGTTAGGTTGGACCAAGGCGGTCCCTCACTGCTTCCTAGCTCTCCCTGGAATCTTCCCCCAGAAGGCAGCCACTCCACCATCCAACACCCTCATCAGACCAGTGGGGCTGCCAGACCTGGATGTTGGCCCTCCAAAACTGTGGGCCAGAAGAAATCTCCTTCCTTAAATGGCTTCTCTCAAGCATTGGTTAGAGTGATATAAAGCTGTCCAATACAAAGATCTCTGACAGAAGGGGAGAGAGGATCTGATTGGCCTTGGTCTACTGCTGGACAGAGAAGCATAACCAGTGAGACAGGAGGGCAGCAGACTGGGCGCAACTGCCAGAGGGCCCGGGTGGGGCAGCCAGGCACTGCAGCTTCCCCCACAAGAATTTATGCTTGTTTCTCACATCTGCTCCCCTAGATCATATTGGTACCCCCTACAGATAATCAGTCCAAAGAGACTCAATAGCACCTAAGGGCACTCTGGGAGTGGTGCCCCAACCAAGGCACTACCCACCTTCCTGTTTGTCCCTGTCACTGCAGGTTGTCCAGCACGTCCAGGCAACCTGCCCTCTGCCAATTGTAAACTGGAAAATCACTCAACTTTTCCAAGACAAGTAACTCAGAATCAAGTTGGGCATAGATGATTGGTTTAGTAGAAAAAGGAGTCAGATTGTCTCGATTGCTAATAATAAAAATAATGAGTAATAAGCTTCAGTGATTATCGAGGGTACCTGGGGATTACAAATCAGCTCATTAAGCACTCTCAGCCACCCTGTGAGGGTAAGCCATGCTGTAAACTCCTCTTGGAGGTGAGGAAACTGAGGTACAGGAAGGTGAACTCACTGTGTCAGCTCCAGCGACAAGAGCCGGGGCCCAGAGAAAGCTGCCTGTGCCCCCTGGCCTGGGAGCAGGCCATCAGCAATGTCTCTGAGTGCTTCTGGGCTACTAAACTGACTTGATCTTGACTGTCTTAAGCTCTCTTCTCTGTGCAGGTCCTGGTACAAGAGGAGTCCCTGCACACTCTGTTCAGCCCCGTGCGCCAAGAGATCTTCGTCATCATTGCTGGTCTCAGGTGACACACACTTTCACAGGCACCCTGCTTCCTCATTCAGAGCCAATGCTGAAGCCAACTAATACGTTCTTTCTGTGTGTGTATGTGTGTATTGAATGTATTCGAAAGGTAGAGTTACAGAGAGAGAAGTCTTCTATCTGCTGATTTGCTCCCCGTAATGACCCTAATGGCTGTGGCTTGGGGCAGGCTGGAGTCAAGAGCCAAAAACTCCATATGAGTCTACCACATGAGTGACATGGTCCTAAGCATTTGTGCCATTGTCAGCTGCCTTTGCAGAAGCATTATCAGGAGGCTGGTTCAGAAGTGGTGCTGCTGGGGCTTGAACTGGTGCTCATATGGAATTCTGGTGTCACAGGCAGTAGCTTAACAAGCTGTGCCACAACAGTGTCATCTTCCATGTTTTTCACTTTCAAAAATTTTTAGACAGGGAAGGGGAAGCCAAATATATTTTTTTTGTGTGTAGGAACTTTGCTTTCATGTGTGCTCCCGTCCATGACTGGAAACCCTTAGGGACCTTTTTAGCGTTCACTTTTGTCTCAGGTATGTTTGTTGAAAGGTTACTCTTATATATGCTTCATTTCAGCAAATTCCAAGGCCTAAGAAGCATTCAAGGCTTTCTTCTTTTTACTGCCTCTTGTGGGAGATCTGTCCCTCGCTGACTAACTGATCACAGGTCTTGAGAAGTCTGGTGGTTAAAGTCTTTGACTTGATTTGACACCCCCTTTCCACTGAGTCAGCCATACCATGCCATGTTATGCACAAGTGGGTTAAGTTGAGCAGCAGATGTTCTTCTAATCTCTTGTGAGATTTGTCTAGACAAGTTGTGCCACTTATCTCTTCCCTCATAGTGGCACAGTGACCAGTCTCCCCTTCCCTTTTATCCATATCCAATGAAGCCCTCCTATGCAGCCTGCTGTTCACCAACTGCCTTGTCTTAGCTACCTAGATGTGCACCTGCTGTTTGGATCTGAAGATCGTGCTGACTTGTTCAGTCTGGTCACCCGAAGTCTCATCACTCTGCCATCCCTGAGCAGCCTGAGCCAGCTGCAGGAGGGCATGCCAAGCCGACCCTACACCCCCGAGGTAACCTACGCTCAACCTCAGACACTTCCCGACCATGGGGCCTACTCATCTGGGCTTGTCAAAGATTTCTTTTTACAATGGATTAATTGATTTGAGAAATAGGTAGAGAGCTCCTGTCTACTGGGAGACTACCTGAGTGCCCGCTGCTTGTCTGGGGGCAGGCCTGAAGCCAGGAGCTTATCATGCTGGTCTGCTAAATGGGTGGCAGGGACCCAATTACTCGAGTCATCATCTGCTGCCTCCCAGGGTCTCCATTATCAGGAAACTGGAGCCCATGTAGGGCAGTAAGCTCGGACACTCAGTCTTGAGATTCAGGCATCTTAGCTAGACTCGGGCATGAGGCTAAGTGTGTACCCTCCAAGGTGCATTTCATCTTCTGAGACTAAAACCCATCTAAGCCACATCTGGTGAATGACAGATGATTAAATTAGCTTCTCCCCTACTCTCTTTACTTTGTCTTCTTTCATTTCCCTTCATTCCCTCTTTTCTGTATTGGGAATGCAGAGGGAATGCTCATTCTTAGGCTTGACAGATGTTTGTTGCAGGGTGCCTGTGTGCTGAGCATTGCGGCAGGCAGTCTGAATGCAGCAGCACACACTGTCCCACATGGAGCTCACAGAGACAAACCATCGATCAAGAGCTCAGCAGACAAGTGTCTGTTTTCATGAAAAACATAGCAAAAACAGGGTGACTGGGAGGTCTTCCTGATGGGGTGAAAAGAAAAAGCGTCCTTCTGTCTGAAGTCCCTTCCAGACAGCAGGAAGAGCAGGTATGAGGGCCCAATGATCTGTTCTGGCTTGTTAATTTGCTCTAAAGCGGTTGCCGAGGTGTCTGTGTAAGACACAGATTTATTCTTTCACCTCATGCCATGGTCTGTGTACTTTTCCACTGGTTCTGCTCCCCTTTGAGAACCTCAGGTTAAAGAGAGAGGCCTTAAAAGCAGGCGGTGGAAACCGGCAGAAGCCACTGATTCTGGGCCTCTTCAGTATCTCTACAGGCAGACGTTCCAGGCATTCTTGGAGATGCTCCAGAGTTTGGTGGTAAAAGACCCACATTTGGAAAACCTTGATGCCATTGTTAAGGTAAACAGGACATCGGGGAAGAATATCCTATCATGCATTGAAAGTAGAAGAAAAAAATGTGGGAGATTTACCTTTTAGGAGGCAACACTGTAGTTAACCAGCTTTAAATCAGAGATGTGGGCTCAGGTTCAATTCTGCACTTCACTGGTTGTAATCCCTTCTGCAAGGAATTCATTCTCTTGCACTCTGATTTCCTCAACTTTATGTGCAGATCATAATTCCTTTGGCATAGAATCAATGGCCCTCAATAAGTGCTATAATTGCTCCTTCAGTTATAATTCCTTACTGGCAAAGAAGGGTTCCTGAACCTAGTAAACAGTTAGCTTCCTCCCAGGTGTGACTCAAAGGTGATCCATGACCACCTGTCTGCACTGAAGCTGCTCTGGGACCTTTCCCTCTGGGGATTTCTTTGCTAGATTGCAGTTCAGGCATCCTGCTGTCATTTTTTTTTTTAGGTTTATTATTTTGATTGGAAAGGCAGATTTACAATGAGAAAGATAGATAGAAAGATCTTCTATCTGCTGGTTCACTCTCCAGATGGCCACACTGGCCGGAGCTGAGCTGCTCTGAAGCCAAGAGCCAGGAGTTTCTTCCATGTCTCTCACACAGGTGCAGGGTCCCAAATCTTTGGGCCATCCTCCGCTGTTTTCACAAGCGGTTGGTAGTGAACTGGATGGAAAGTAGAGCAGTCAGGACATGAACCTGCGCCCATATGGCATCCCAGTGCTTACAAGGATACCATTTGAGCCGTTGTGCCAGGCTCCATTCTGCTGTGTTGACCCCCTTTTTTCAGATACAGAGATTCCAGAAAGGAATTACCCTTTAAGCTATTATGAATCATTTGCACATAAGTACAGATACATTTATCCTTGCTACACTGACCTTAGCATAGTTTCTCATGACTCTTCTGTGTGTATCAGCCAGCTTTTACTTCTCCATTTATCCAGGTGTACTTTGTATTTTCTTGTCATGGCAACTTAATTCAAACCATTTTTTCTAAGATTCTGCCTTATATCTAAACAGCTACTCAGGGGTGTTATCTTGCTCTAGCTGTTCAGGTGGATACCAATCTGCACCCAGAGTTCTTTTTTTTAAATTATTTATTTTAAAGGCAGAATTACAAAGAAAGAAAAAGAGGTCTTTCATCCACTGGTTCACTCCCTGAACAGCTGTGATGATTGGAACTGAGTAGATCTGAAGCCAGCAACCAGAGGCCAGGAGCTTCCTTGGAGTCTCCCAGGGGGTACAGGCCCCAAGGCTTTGGGCCATCCTTTGCTGCTTTTCCAGGGCATAAGCAGGGAGCAGGATTGGAAGTGGAGCAGCTGGGACACATGACTATTGCCCATATGGGGTGCCAATACTGCAGGTGGAGGCTTAACCTACCATACCATGGTGCTAGCCCCCACAGTGCTGTTGAATGGAACCTTACAAATTCATTTCTTCCCAAAGAAGACTAGAAAGGGGCTAAGTACAAATACAATAATTTGTTGAAGAAATCAGAATGAAGAGAAAACATGTCTGGAAAGGGACTCCCACAGAGGCCAAGTTAATACCCTGGTGGCTTGCTTATCATCCCACCGCTTCTGCTTTTTTTTTTAATAATGATGCTCATGAAGCATTTTCCTTGATTTCATTTTTTTTAAGATCTATTTTATTTTTTCTTGGAAAGTCAGGTTCACGGTGAAAAGGAGAGACAGAGAGGAAGATCTTCCATTTGTTGGTTCATTCCCCAAGTGGCCGCAACGGCTGGAGCTGAGCCAATCCAAAGCCAGGAAGCAGGAACTTCTTCCAGGTCTCCCACAAGTGCAGAGTACCAAGGTTTTGGGCCATCCTCAACTGCTTTCCCAGGCCACAAGCAGGAAGCTGGATGGGAAATGGAGCAGCCGGGATACAAACTGTCCCCCATATGGGATCCCGATACGTGCAATGCAAGGGCTTGAGCCACTAAACTACCATGCTGGGCCCATCACTTCTGCTTCTAACCCAAACTGGTTTGTCATTGAGGACAATACCTGGAGATATAGGAGCAACAATTTTCCTCTCTAGATTTTTCTTCCAGGCAGGTTACAGGTGTTAGCCCAGATCTTTCTGGCAAACCATCCAGCCTTCTTTCTTCCTTCTTTTGCAGCAGATGGACCCGTGGTTACAGTCTGTTGTTGACCATGAGAGGGAACGGGCCACAATCAGCATGTCTCAAGTTCTGAAGTGCTTATCCAGACACCTCAACCTCAAGGTGAGCAGCCCTTCACTTGCACAAGAAGATCCCAGCCTGTCTGTGGCACATTCTCTTTGTGATTCCCCAAGCTAAGCTAGGTGTCCCCCTGTGCTAATATAATGTTGTGGAATTTAGTTCTGCTTACCTGTCTGCCCAGCCCTCAAATGGGAGCAGCTTATCGCCAGGCATTATGTTTATTAACCTATTCATCCACTTTGCTTAGCACAGGAGCTGAACCATAATAGTTTAGTCATTATTTTCATATAAGTAAGTGAAGAAATAAAACCAGAAACCACTGGAAGGCCCTCAGTGGCCTTGGATCTGGGCAGCGCCCAGAAGTTAGAAGAAGTTAGGCCCAGGAAGCAAATTTCAGAGGATCAGTTCAACCATCTCCCAGCATCCCCAAGGAAAGGGTATTGTGATGCTGGTTCATCTCCTTGCCCCCCTCTTCCATGTGTCCTCTCATGTGTCCTGAGCCTTCTCCCATAACTGATTTTTTATTATTTTATTTTTGATGATGATTACATGGTTGAGTAAGATGCATGCCCATGTGGACCACTGATTATGATAGGAAGGGTCGAGGAATACGAGAAGGTAGATAAGAACATGATTTCCGGGGCCCGGCGCAGTGGCACAGTGGTTAAGGTCCTCCTCTTGCACACCCGGGATCCCATATGGGTGCTGGTTCTATCCCGGCAGCCCTGCTTCCCTTCCAGCTCCCTGCCTGTGGCCTGGGAAAGCAATCGAGGACGGCCCAAAACTTTGGGCCCCTGCACCCGCGTGGGAGACCCGGAAGAGGCTCCTGGCTTCGGATTGGCATAGTATCGACCGTTGCGCTCACTTGGGGAGTGAATCATCGGATGGAAGATCTTCCTCTCTGCCTCTCCTCTCTGTATATCCACCTTTCCAATAAAAAATAAATAAATAAATAAACAAATAAAAATTAAAAAAAAATAAAGAAAAAAAAACATGATTTCCTATTTTGTTTTTATACTTCCTGTATCTGAGGAAAGAAGGGAGAGAAGGGGAGAAGCCGCACACAACATCCCAACCACCTCAGTACCTGAGGATGGGGAATGGCCATCCACTTTCATCACATTGGCCCCGGGATGGAGCATGCTGTGAGGGCACTGCTCAAGTAAATTTTTTTTTTTAATTTTATTTGGGATTTTTTTGTCATTGGAATGTCAGATGTACAGAGAGGAGGAGAGATAGAGAAGCTCTTCCATCCGCTGATTCACTGCCTAACTAGCTGCAATGGCCGGTACTGCACCAATCTGAAACCAGGAGCCAGGAGACTTCCTAGGTCTCCCACATGGGTGCAGATTCCCAAGGCTTTGGGCTGTCCTCAACTGCTTTCCCAGGCCACAAGCAGGGAACTGGATGGGAAGTGGGTCCGCCGGGATTAGAACTAGCATCCATATGGGGTCCCAGTTCATCCAAGGCGAGGACTTTAGCCACTAGGCTAACTTGCCAGGCCTCATACTATTATTAACATAGGTTAGAACTGACTCTTTAAATACTGGTATGTTGGCTCAACTGGCTAATCCTCTACCTCCAAGCGCCAGCATTCCATATGTGTGCCAGTTCATGTTCCAGTTGCTCCTCCACCCATCTAGTTCTCTGGTTGTGATCCTGGAAAACAGTGAAGGCTAGCGCAAAGCGTTGGGTTCCTATTCCCACGTGGGAGACCCAAAAGAAGCTCCTGGATCCTGACTTTGAATTAACTCAGTTCTGGACATTGTAGCCATTTGTGGAATGAACCAACAAATAAAAGATCTTTCTGTCTCTCCTCTTTGTTAATCTGCCTTGCAATAAAAATAAATAAATCCTAAAAGAAAAAAAAGAAGAAGTTGCTGTTTATACCATGTGCTGCATGTATTGTTGCTCCTCAAGTCTGAGGGTTGTCCTTCATGGTGAGGGCATGCTGGGACTCCTGCATCGCCCCTGAGGCTCTTGCCAGCATGTGGTGATTCAGGTTGTTGAGTCTCTGCCACCCACATAGGAGACTCGCAATGAGTTCTGGGATATGAGCTTAAAATTCATTTAAAAAACATCATTTCATTTGTTTGAAAGGCAGAATGACAACGAGAGAGTACTTAGGCCACCTTCCCCTGCCCTTGCAGACAGGGGTCACTTGGAAGCAGAGTGACAGGGACTCAAACAGAAATCCTGATATAGAATGCTGGCATCATAAGCAGCAGCTTAACCCACTGTGCTATAACACTGGTCCCAAGCTCCCTTCCAGCTGGGGCCTGCCCCAAACCCAGCTGCTATGTGCATTTGGGACATGAACTACTTATTGTAAGCTCTTTGTTTCTTTCAAATTAAATAAATAAATAAATAACTTTTATAAAAAATGTACATGCTCCAGCAACCAAAAAGGCTCAATGAGACCTTGTTTTTCTCTCAGGTGGGGATAGAAATGATGTCTCAATAGCTCTACTTGTAGGCACTGAATGATCCTGTGTTTTAAGAACATTTTTTTTTCTTCTAAATTAGGTTCCACTGCAATTCCAAAGACTTGGCCACCTGGTGGCCCTGATGGCGCTGCTGTGTGGGGACTCGCTGAGGGAGGTGGCAGAGGAGGCGGCAGAGGGCACCCACTACCTGCTGCGTATCACCCTGAGACTGAAGTGTAAGACCCTGCTGGAGGCTGCAAGGCCCCACGTCCATTCTCTAGCACAGTATGAACACCAGCCCTCCTTGTGCCCTCTGGCCCTGTGTTCTAGAAAGATTTGGTCTGGAGGGACCAAACAAGTGGCCTGGGCACAGATGGGAGTGGTTAGTTTGGTTGGGAGTGGGAAAGATTCTTGCCATCATTTGGGCCTCATTCACTTGTTTATCCACCAAGAGTTTAATTATATGTTACTGGATATCTAACAGTGACTGGAACAAGATTGTGACAGTCCAGAGGGAGTCAGACAAAGACTCTACAAATAACACTTGTTACCAGCTGAAATATCCGTTAGAAAGGGAAACTACAGGGGCCATAGGTGAAAACCAGATGTCCTAGTGGGGTTCAGAAAAGGAGGTTCTGAAGAGAATCTGAAGAGGAAGGAGCAGATTGCCTGGAGAGGAAAAGGGGATGTTGGGCAGAGAGCACCACAAGCGAAGCTTGGGCAGTCTGATCTTTGAGAGTTTGAAAGAAGAGAGAGAGAGAAGGCCAGCAAGATCAAAGAATGAAAGAATCTCTCACCTCCCCAGCCCTGAGGTCAAGGGAAGGCCGCTGACTCAGCACCCACCAGTGTTGACATCTCAGTCTGCCCCATCCCGGTGTAACTGCCCTGCCCCAACTTCTTCACCCCACTGTTAGAGAAACTCTGCCCTCCCAAAGCAATTGTCCCACCTTCAGCCACCTGTGGGTGTGGACAGTGTCCACCACAGACACAGCCAGGGCACTACCTACAGCTGATTACTGACTTGGCAGTGTTTACGAAGCTCTTACTGTTCTGGGGATGCCTCAGTAAGCAAGGCAGAGGAGGCCCTACCCCAGGGACCTTATTGTTTAGCTAGAAAGACATCCTAGGATTCAGAGACTTGGCATAGCTCGATTTCCAGCAATAAAGCATGGGAACTAACTTTATAATAAAGCATGAGATACTACAAGGAGTGATGGTAGATTCAGTAATCAACAAAAACTAGACAAAGAGTTCTTACTGGAGTTATCAGAGCATAAAGTGGGGGCAGTTTTTGGCTGGAACTAAACTTCATGAGGAGACCCTCAAATTACTCGCCAAAGGGGAAACAAAGAAGTACATCTTGTTTATGCTCAGAGACTACTCAAAAGCTCTGCTCATGAGGATGGCGCAGTGACTCAACAGATTAATCCTGTATCAGCAAGTGCTAGCATCCTGTATGGGCACTGGATCCTGTATTGGCTGCTCCACTTCTGATTCAGCTCCCTGCTTATGACCTAGGAAAGTGATGGAGACCCTATATCCAGAAGAAGCTCCTGGCTCCTGGCTTCAGATCAACTCAGCTCTGGCTATTGTGGCCATTCGGGGAGTGAACCAGTGGATGAAAGATATCTCTAAATCTTAAACAAAAAACAAGCAAAAAGAAAATCTGCTCTTGCAAAACATCCATTTTCTTTTGGTTCATTCTATATACTGCTCTTATAAGAAAGGGGAAAGCCTTCAAACCAATGCACACTACATGCCTCCAACATTTTTGTTCACAATGAAAAACCCAAGAGTAAGGTCTTGAGATCTGCTTCAAAGAGGCAGTCAACTGGACTTGTCAAGTGAAGGGGAAAATTGATCAGGGCTGGGTATACCAGCACAGATGTTGAACCATACATGTCTCACTTCAGAATGTCTGGCTTTGATTCCCAGCTCTGACTCCTGACTCCAGCTACTTCCTTACTACCGGGGGGGGGGGGGGGGTAGTAAGAAGGACTCAAGCAGCTGGGTTCCTGCCAGGCACATGGGAGGCCAAGGATTGGGTTCCAGGTCCCAGCTTCCATCCTGACCAAGGCCCAGCCATTGCACATGGGAGGTCTCTGTGTTTATGTCTTTGAAATAATTTTGTTTTAAAAAGGAAAGGAACAAAAATCAACATTTTTCTCTCTCTTCTACCTAGATATCACTCATGACAAGAAAAATCACCAAAGCTTGAGAAATGCGTTGAAAAAATGTCGAGAGCTTCTGGAGCTCTGTGGTATTAAGCAGTTCTACAGCTGTCCGGTCAAAATTGTCCAGGTAATCAGAACAAATGCAAGACCCAGAGAAGGACGCCTGATTTGTCTGTGCAGATGCAAAATGGTGCAGTCTGCTTTGGGAGATTGTCTGTTAGTTTCATATGTAGCTAGCCATGCAAGATTGTCCAGAGGAAGTGAAAACAAAGCACTGTGCTCATGACTCTTGCACACCCTGCGTCCCTAAAGTAGTGCTTTACCTCAGCCTGTCAGGCCAGCATCACTGCTTGGATTTGCACTCAGACCGGTTCCATTCCCATGTATTTTTTTTTAAGATTTATTTATTTTTATTGGAAAGATAGATATACAGAGAGGAGGAGAGACAGCGGGGCTGCCAGGATTAGAACCAGTGACCACACGGGATCCCAGCTTGGGCAAAGCAAGGACCCTAACCACTACGCTACCACTCCTGGCCTCCATTCCCATGTATTACCAACCTCTGTAAACCCTGGTAACCACAAGGGGCTAATTAATGAACCTGTACTTTTGAATTTTTATATATTCATTTTTCAATAAATATGTATGTGTCTCCTGGAAACCAGGCATGCTAAGGGTAAGGGAAAGAAAAGGGAACCTACATATCCTGCTCTCATATGGTCAGTGGCTTTATATAGTTTAGTCTCTTTTAATCTCTTCCCATCTGTACAATGGGCATCTGGAAACACTGATGACTCAATTGTTGTGAGGGCAAAATGAGATATGATCCAGAGAGCATTTTCTTTTTTTTTTTAAGATTTATTTCATTTTTTATTGGAAAGTCAGATATAGAAAGGAGGAGAGACAGAGAGGAAGATGTTGCATTGGTTGATTCACTCCCCAAGTGCTCATAACAGCCAGAGCTGAGCAAATCCAAAGCCAGGAGCCTGGAGCCTCTTGGAGTGTAGGATCTCAAGGCTTAGGGCTGCCCTTGACTGCTTTCCCAGGCCACAAGCAGGGAGCTGGATGGGAAGTGGAGCTGCCGGGACATGAACTCTAGCGCCCATATGGGATCACAGCAAACAAGGCAAGGACTTTAGCCACTAGGCTACCACTTTGGGCCCTGGGAGCATTTTCCTTGACATTTGCCACATCATTGGTGCTCAGTTCACTGGGACTGTTAGAGTCACAGCAGAGGACCACATTGCCATGTGCAATTGGAGTCAGAATGGCATTTTGTGTGCAAGCACCAGTATCCCCTACAGATACCAGTCTGTGCCTGCTGCTCTACTTCCCATCCTGCTCTGGGAAAGTGACAGAGGATGGCCCAAGTCCTTGGGACCCTGCACCCGCAAGAGAGACCCAGAAGAGGCTCCAGGCTCATGGCTTTGGATCAGCTCAGTCATTTGAAAAGTGAACCAGCAGATGGAAGGTCTTTCTCTCTGAATTCTCTCTGTAAATCTGCCTTTTCAATATAAATAAAATACATTTTAAAAAATTCGATTTCCTGACAAGGTGTTATATCTGTGCCAGAGACTTTGTGAGCTGTGTAATAAAGGGCCTTGCTTTGGTCCCACTCCTGTAAAATGTGTTTTTTGAGAGGATTTTCTAGTCAAGCTTCTTTCTCAAAGTGAAAGGCCCTGCATGGAGAGCCACTGTGCCTTCAGCTTGCATCCAGCTTTTCCCTTTTGTCTGTAGTGCCAAAGCAAAGAAACAGCTTTTGGGTCTTGTATACGTCTCTGCTTGACTTAGAATCTAATCCTTCTTCAGGATTCTGTTTGTCATAACACTGTTTCTTATGCTGTTTTTCCTTACGTTGTTTCAGATCTTCGAAGTTTTTCTCAATGCAAATGAGCTCTGCCAGTTTGCGATGACTACGCTGGACAGCCTGGGAAATCAGAGTCATCCTTGCACCCAGAGTTCGGCGATAGAATTGCTGATAACCTTGGTGAAAGATGTTGAGTCCCAAACTGAAAAGGTAAAAATGGCCACTTCCTGGCTTGAAAATCCTGGCATGGCATCTGTTCTGTTGCTCATCGTCAGCTGAGAGCAAGGCCTGGGGGGACAAGGTCAAAGCTTTAGTCCATCTGGCCACTAACATTCATCCACTCAGCAAGCACATGCTCAGCGACCACTGTGCGCACAGGAGGAAGGGAGATTTTAGAAACCTAGGATGTAGTTCAGAAGAGTAGTATTTCTGGAGAGATATAGTGGCTTTTTTGTTTTTTGTTTGTTTGCTTAAATAATAAATTCATTTTATTTTTTAAAGATTTATTTTTATTGGAAAGTCAGATCTACAGAGAGGAGAGACAGAGAGTAGGATCTGCCGTTCAGTGATTCACTTCCCATGTGGTCGCCGTGGCCAGAGCTGAGCTGATCCAAAGCCAGGAGTCCGGAGCCTCCTCTGGGTCTCCCACAGGGGTGCAGGATCCCAAGGCTTGGGGCTGCCCTCGACTGCTTTCCTAGACCACAGGCAGGAACTAGATGGGAACTGGGGCTGCCAAGATGTGAACCGGCGCCCATATGGGATCCCGGCGCTTTCAAGGTGAGGACTTTAGCCACTAGGCTACCATGCCAGGCTCAAAATAAATGTCTCTTTTAAAAAAAAGATTCACTTATTTTTAGTGGAAAACCAGAGTCACAAAGAGAAGGAGATGCAGAGACAAAGATTTATATTCAGCCTGTTCACTCCCCAATTAGCCACAACAGCTGGAGCTGAGCAGATTCAGAAGCCAGGAACCAGGAGCCTCCCCAGTATCACACATGGATGCAGGCTTTGGGGCATCCTCTACTGCTTTCCCAGATCACAAGCAGGGAGCTGGAAGAGAAGTGGAGTAGCCAGAACATAAACCAGCACCTATATGGGGTCTCAGTGCTTGCAAGGCAAGGATTTAGCCACTGAGCTTTCTCATCAAGCCCCTTCATAATTATTTTTAAAGCATTTTAAAAATGGTCACTCCTATGGCCTAGCCAAAAAACCCCAGCATCCCCAGAAACCATCAGTGTCGCATAAGTATAAAGTCTTAGTGATGTTTTTGTTTTCTTCTCCAGGTGCCAGAAGTCATGGGAGTTATCTGTGCCCGGCTGTCCATCATCAACCAGCCTAGATTGCGCCAGCAGATCATCCATACCGTGAGTCTGTTCATCTCCAGGTCCAAGTACACGGACACGATGCTCAGCTACCTGCTGTGCCTCCCAGTACCATACGACAGGTAACAGAGCCCGGGGCAGCCACTGTGCACCGATGACTTTGACATTCAGCACTGAGTTTTATAGAATGTGTTTGCCTCAAAAATCCCATGAGATAAGCTAGAAACACACATGGTATTCAGCAGAACGGGACAATTCTACATTAAGAAATAACCCAGCAAATCCAGACTGATGTATATTTTTAAAGATTTTATTTTTTTTATTGGAAAGTCAGATGTACAGAGAGGAAGACAAGAAGATCTTCTGTCCAATGATTCACTCCCCAAATGGTCGCAATGGCCAGAATTCAGCCAATACGAAGCTAGGAGCCTCTGCCAGTTCTCCCACACAGGTGCAGGGTACCAAGGCTTTGGGCCGTCCTCTACTGCTTTCCCAGGCCAAGCAGGGAGCTAGATGAGAAGCTGGGCTGCCGGGATTAGAACTGGCACCCGTATGGGATCCTGGTGTGTTCAAGGCGAGGACTTTAGCCACTAGGCTACTGTGCCAGATCCCAGACTGATATTTTCCATGACAATTAGCATGAGCTCTGCAGAGGATTTAATGTCATGGCAGAAGAAAATGGTGGTAGGGATATTGTGATAAGTTCCAAGGTGCTAATGCTATCAGTGTAACATGTGGCCTTGATTGGATTGTCTGTCGTAGTAGTCATGATGACATAACGGGCCATAGGTCATCTCAGGGACTCAGTCAGCAGCCCTGTGGACATTTTTGGCCACTGCCAGTTTTGGGAACCACTTTGCCAACGTAGGGATTTTGGGTTGCTGGCCACCAGAGGAGTTTTTTAGGCCACCCTCAGGGGAGACTATTGTGACATATTTGGTGCCGGCCTTTCCCAAGTCCCTGACCATCTCCTAACCTGTAACAGGTGATTGTCCTTAGGAGTCTGTTCAGAACACCAGCTGTGTGCATGATGCTGGTAGGCTCTGGGACGATGGTCAGGAAGAGCAAGCACAGATGGTAATGGAGGTTGCCAAGGCAAAGCTTGCTCAGTGAACGTTTCCCTACAGCAAGGGCTGCCCTCAAGCTAAGCTTTGCAGGGCAAATTAACCAGGTGGGTGATGGGATGGGGCCTGAAACCGTTATTCCCCACAGTGAGAATCACAGCAGCCGATGGCAAGAGGTCTGAAGTAGCTCCAGGGATGCTGGGCACAGTTGTCTAATGGCTTGGGAGAAAAGAAGGCAGTGAGGAGCGGGCAGGCTGCTGATGGGAATGTTTTGCAGCTGGATTGTCTTGATGACTGCATGACCTTGTAAAATGTACTAAGAGTCAGTGAACTGGACACATGGAATAGCTGATCTTTGTGGTAAGGGATTATCACTCACTGCAGCTGTTTTTAGAGTTGTGGCTGTTTGAGAAGTGAACCATGGGATAGATAGAAGATCTTACTGTCTCTCCTCTCTGTGAATCTGCCTTTCCAATAAAAATAAATAGTGTATGTGTGTATATGTATATGTATATATGTATGTATAAAATAAGGTGGATTTGCAGAGACAAAGAAAGACAGAGATCTTCCATTACTGGTCCATTCCCCTAATGTCTGCAACAGCCAGAGTTGAGTCAATCCGAATCCAGGAGCCTGCTCTGTGTTTCCCACTTGGGTGCAGCGTCCGAGGCTTTGGGCCAGGTCACAGGCAGGGAGCTGGATGGGAAGTGGAGCAGCCAGCACACAAACCAGTGTCCATATGGAATGTCATACTAAAGGACAAAGGATTAGCCTATTGAACCACTGCGGTGATCTCCATTTTTTTTTTAAACATTTATTTGAAAGGCAGAGTTCTAAGGAGTAAAAGAGAGAGAGGGAGGGAGAGAGAAAGAGAGGGAAAGAAAATCTTCCATCCACTGATTTATTCATCAAATGGCTTCAACAGCTGAGGCTGAGCCAGGTCAGAGCCAAGAGCCTCTTCTGGGGCTATCCACATGGGTACATGGGCCCAGGCACTTGGGCCACCATCTGCTGCTTTCTCAGACTATTATCAGGGAGCTCGAAAGGAACTTCAAGTTTTAAGAAAATGAGGTAAGGAGTGGCATAGTAATTTCAAAGTCAAGGTTGTTTTTGTTTGGTAAAGGTGACTGGTTTGTGGGAGTTAGAGCCTGGAATGTGTGCCAGGGACGTGTTGGAGCTAAATAGTTGGTGAACAACCTTGAAGCTCATGCTGGAGTGATATCTGGGTTCAAAAAGACTTTGGTGTTATTTTCTATTACATTTAACTAAGAGAAAGTTCCAACAATGTTTAAGAATTGAAACAGTATGTTTCCAAAAAAATCAAGTATTTTCATATCACACGTGTACTTTCGAAATGAGAAAAAGCATCATGTTAAAATGCTAATATTTGGGAAAATAGCTTTACATTACTGTGTGTGTCTACTTGCTTGATTGTGCACGTGTTTTTGTCAGGCTGTTTTCTGTTTTTCTATGGATGAAGGTTTATACTGCCAAGTCTCATCAATGGGCATTTAAATTAAATCAGCGCAATCAATGGGGAAAAAAAACAGACTTTGGGAGTGACTGTTGGAAAATCAGACAGTGAATTTTCAGCTAGCCTGAGGAAGAGGGCAGAGAGGAGTGCAGACAGCCTCTGGGAAGACCGGGGACGTGCCAAGCTGAGGTAAGTCATCCTGCATCTCTCCCTTGGCCTTCGGGACTTCTAGGCATCTGGCTGAGCTGTGGAGGAGCCTGGAGGTAGAGCTACCCAGCACCACCTGGCTACTGTGGAGGCTCCTGAAGAAGCTGCAGAAACACCACAACATGGCCCCACAGGAGAAGACAGCCTACGTGGCTGTTGCTGTAAGCTGCGGACCCTGCCCTCCCCACAGCCCATGTGCTCCCTGTTAGGGCCCGGATCCCATCTGGAGGGTGCTGCTTGAGGTCTGCTTCCAAGCTTGCCTCTGTCATCAGTTTCAGAAAGTATATACGAAAAAAAAAAGCATACATACATATATATATACTTATGAGAAACTATGCCATTGTAATGATATAGGAGAACTCAGGAGGGGTGGGTTTAGGCAAGGGGATAGAGGAAATCCCAGAGCCTATAGAACTGTATCATAAAATGATAATAATAAAGAAAATGAAAAAATGAGTTAAAAAGTTATATATATATGCACACACACATATACTATATATGTATATAGAGAGATAATGACTAACACAAATTAATGAAAAAATTATTTAAATAGCACAGGATACTTAAAATGGAAAGCAGAGGAAGCTATAAAGGGAGCTATGAGCTTTTTAAAAATATGTATTTATTTATTTATTTATTTGAAGGGCGGAATTAGAGAGAGGGAAAAACACATCCATCTTCTAATTCACTCCCCAAATGGTCATACTAGCCAGAGCTGTGCTGATCCAAAACCAGGAGCCAGATGCTTCTTCTGAGTTTCCCTTTGGATGCAGGGACCCAGAGACTTGGGTCATCTTTCACTGCTTTTTCCACATATGTTAGCAGGGCGCTGGATTGGAACTGGAGCAGCCAGGACTTGAACGGTTACCTATATGGGATGCTAGCTTTGCAGGTCGTGTCTAACAGCACCATCCCCCATTTGACAGCTCTTAGTGCCCACCTGACTCGCGAGTTTTTCCTCCTTTGCTTTGGTGTTCCCAAGCTGATTGCACTCCCCACCCTCAACCCAAGCTGCTCTAGGGTCCTGGAGCCAGAAAGCATGTTGGGGTGGTAGTGAAGCCACTGTGAGGCTGGGGTATGAGGCAGGTTCTGTGTTCTCATGTCTGTTCTGTGGCTTTCCTCCGCAGGCAACAAATGCCCTTTATGAGCTGTTTGTTGGGAACAGGCTCCGGGCAGCTATGTTCCGACTCTGTCCCCAGCTGCTCATGACCTTGCTCATCCAGATTCACCATAGCATCGGCCTCACCATGTCTGACATCACCGTCTCCAATGACCTGTACACAGAACAGGAAATGCCTTCTGAAGTCACCCCTCTGTGGTACTGTCTTTTGTGACTTTGCTGACCTTGAGAAATAGTAAGCCTGGGGTAGGGGGTGGGGGTGCTGTCGTTCTCCACTGCGGCAGTCCTCCAGAGGTAGAGATGGCATCTGACCATCTCTCCTGGGGAGTGTTTGATTTTGCCTTCTCCAAAGGTGACTTAGCTATCTGGATCTAGTTGCCCTGCAGAGTGACAAGTGAGGGCCTACACGCTCCCTCCTCACAGCTCCGGGAAAGACTGAGGGGAGCGGAGCAGCGTGTGATCCACTGGGCGGTGGCTCTTTGTCTTTGCTGCACTGCATGTAGAGGAATTTTCAGTTTCCCTTAGGATCTCAAAAGAAATTTCTTCATGTTCCTGTGGTACCTGGGTTTGTCTTTGAGGACGTGCTGTAATCTGGACTAAGAGAACCTGACTTGTTATTCTCAGTTGTCCGCTTAGGTACCTGGGTACCCTGGGCACATCTGTAGTTCTATCCCTCAATTTTCCCATTAGTAAATGAGGTCAAACAAGGGGCTCTTTTAGGACTTTTCCAGCTTTATGATCCTTTGATGCTATGTGCATATAACAGTCAACAAGGGGAGTTTGTTTTGAAAATGTTTTTTTTGTTTTTTTGTTTTTTTGGTTTTTTTTTACTTAAAAGGCATGGTGTCAGGGAGACACAGAGTGATAGAGTGTGGTAACTTCCATCTGCTAGCTCATCCCTCAAGTGATGGGAACAATGGGGCTGGGACAGGAGCCTGGAACTCCATCCAGGTCTGCCACATGGATGATGGGAACCTGGGCACTTGGACCATTTTCTGCTGCCTCCCAGCCTCACTAACAGGGAGCTGGATTGGAAGTGGCCTAACCAGAACTTGAATTAGTGTCCTGATGTGGGATGCTGGCATCATGAGCCATGGCCTAACTTATTGTGCCACAATACTGGCTCCAGCATCAATGCTGCAGAGTGTAACTTTTATCTCAATAAGGCATAAGGAGAAAAAAGCAGTATGGATCTTTTTTGGTACTCCAGGTCCTTTTTTGTATATTTCCTGTCAAATTCCTGGGGAAGCAAAATCTACTTAAATTTCTTTATGCCCAGAACTTGTCTAAAAGGCCTGTGAAGTTCTAGGAGCATTAACTGTCCTGCTGGGGAATCCTCAAAAGAGAGAATCCCAGTGGCTCACAGCAACTGTCTGTTCGTGTGTGGTAAGTGGGGGTGATGGTGTGCCCCCTAACCACAGGCCCCTCCTGTGTTCACCACTTCTGCCTCTGTTTGTTGTAGCCTCGCCATGCAGGCCACAAAGATGCTGCTCCTCAGAACCCTATGCTGGCAGGAATTCTATGCCATGGAGAAGAGCCGAGGCTGGAGTCTTCTGGGTGGAAACGATTGCCATCTTCAGGGAGTGTTCCTCCTTGCCAAGTAAGGCTTAAGCTTGAGCCCGCCAGCTTCTCCACCAGCACTGCTTTAACTATTCCCTGCACCCAACTTGTCAGTTGTCACAGCATCATCTAAAGATGCACAGCCTAAAAAGGTGGTTGGATTTCCACCATGCCAGGCTGGGTCCTGGCTCTGCCTTCCTCCCTGGTTTCCTGAAGCTGGGCAGAAACTGCCAAGGGCCCCAACTCTTAGATGATGCCTACCAGAAGGCAGCATTTCTGAGAGTGCTGTGCTGCCTTCCAATTTGCAGCACATTGCTGGAAAGAAATCAAGACCTTGCACACAAAGTCATGTACCTGTTAGTCCCTCTACTCAACCGAGGGAACGAGAAGCACCAGCTCACTTCGGCAGGTGTTTTTGTGGAGGTAAGTTTGGTCTTGAGGGGTTCAGGAGGCTGGGAAAGCAGTACCACCCATCTGCCCACCCAGTACGGCCTTTGCCTGGTGATGACTGGGCCACTGCAGGTGTATGGGAGAACTGTGTGACCCCTCAGCTGGAAGTTTTTTTTTTAATAAGATTTACTTATTTTTATTGGAAAGTCATATACATAGAGGAGGAGAGACAGAGAGGATGATCTTCCATCTGATGATTCACTCCCAAAGTGGCCGCAAAGCTCAGCCAAAGCTGAGCTGAGCCAGGAGTCTCTTCTGGGTCTCCCACATGGCTGCAAGGTTCCAAGGCTTTGGGCCGTCCTCAACTGCTTTCCCAGGCCACAAACAGGGAGCTTAATGAGAAGTGGAGCAGCCAAGACATGAACCAGCACCCATATGGGATCCCGGACATGTAAGGCGAGGACCTTAACCACTGCGCCACCGCGCCAGGCCCAGCCAGAAGTCTTATTTGCACCCGTTCTTCAGCTGCACCTCACCCTGTCATGTGTGTGCTCCTCTGTAGAAATCTCAGAGGAACCCATGCAGTGTGGATGTAGTGACAGGGCAGCTTCCCTCGCAGGGAGGGGCTCAGCAGTCACTTGTGCGGCTGAGGTCTGGGTGCTTTCAGCTGCTCCAGAGTCCAGTGGTCAAGAGGCTGCCCAACATCTACTCTGTGGTCCGCCTGAGAGACTGGCTGCTCTGTGGAAATAATCTCTTCAGAATCCTTGCCCTGAGGGGGCTGCATCACCTCGTCAAACACCAGAAGATGGTAGGTCGGAGGGACCCCGGACCCTGCATTTTCTGAGTCACAAATGAAACATCCCACAAAGGTAGCCAAGGCAGTGGTAGCAGCCGAGTGGCAGGGTGGGGTTACAGGGGACAGGTGAAGGGAGGAGGCTTTCACTGCCTGTCTTTTTAGGGTGTTTTCTGTTTTATACTGATTGTGATAAGTAATATCTATTTTAAAAATCATTGAAGCAAACAGGAATAGCCAAGTGCAAGTTACATATATTTGTAAGATTTGAAACTGCCATTTAGATGGAAGGTGACTCATGATGGTCATAACCTGGGCAGCAGTCAGGTGTCTCTTTTTGTTGTGAGCTGCCTCACAGGGTGTAAGTATGACCAGGTAACCCTAGGGGGTCATCACTGGGCAACATCATGGTCCACAAGTGAGAGATGTGGCAGAAAGAGCTCTCTGCCCACAGGCCCTACTAGGAAATAGGCCACAGTCAGAAGAGACGATTCACCCCTGAGACTTCAGTTTTGTCACTTGAGTTCTGGATCTTTCATGTAAAAGTTTATGTACATATCTGAAGCAAAAGTGAGAAATGTTAGTATAGGTCAGTTCTGGTTGAGAAGAAACATTTTTGTTGCTTTATTCCATCTCCTGTTTTACCTGTATGTTGTAAATGTGCATCCTAAGACTGCTTCCTTGGAGGAGTTTCAAAAGATGGGATTGCCAATTCAAATTGGGAAGTGCCCCTCTGGATTCCCAGTCTAATTTGGCTTAAGTTTCTGCCAAGGGCACTAAGAGCCTCTGTTGGCTACCTTTTGTACTGTGGACCCCTGACACGGCCCTAGCCAGCCATTTCCCTTTTTCTCTGTGTCAAGAGAACGCTTCTTCATGAAGCAATCTAGTCCGTCTGCCTGGTCCTGCCCCACAGAGTCCCGCTCAGTCCTGGGGAGGTCTCTCCTCAGCATGTGAAGCCTGCTGATGCTGTGCAAGAGGAGGCAGGCTGTGCGCATGCTCTGCAGTGAGCAGCAGGCCCTGGGTCAGGGCAGGGAGCTGGCGTAGGGCAGGGAGCTGGCGTAGTGCAGGAGAGGGCCCGATGCACTCTTTGTGGACATGCAGAAGGAAGACGTCAGCAGCCTGCTGCCGCCCATCATGGACTGCTTGTGTGAGAGCGATGGAAGGATTGTTCTGCTGGCCATGCAGCTTCTGCTGCACTTTGTCGGGACGGTGGATCCCAGCACCTTGGCTTCCCTGATGAAGACTGTGTTCTCCCTGTTTGGTGACGTAAGCCAGTGGGAGGAGGAGTGTCATTGGCACAACACTGAATAGAAGTTGGAGCCATAATAAATACACAGTGTTTAATAGAACACTTCTGCTTCCAAAGCACATTCCAGGCTCCTTCTAGATAACCTGTCATGTTGACAGAGCTGGTGTTATTGTTGGTTTCCATAGAAGTGGTTGGGTGGGGGAGGTAGGAAGAATTACCTGAGGAGTAAAACGTTTGGCAGATTATTAACCTGATTTACAGAGTGAAGAAGGAGTCTGCATTGTAGCAGACTCTTTCCTTACAAGGAACACTATGAATCAAGGTAGTAGACAATGCTTAAGTCCTCGTCCCAAGTTACAGAAGTTTTCTAAAAAGATGGAACAACAAGACCAGCACTCATGGAAGAGAAAAATGTGCCCAGGCCAGGATTTGGGTGAAAGGTCAACATCCATGTTGGATACAAGCTGGGTTGGCCACCAGGGGTGAAGTGCTTGCTTTACATTTGTAGTGAGAGAACAAGTAGCACTAAATAGCTAGTCTGGCTGTTGCCGTGTGTGTCTGATTTGCTGCCCTCAGGTGCATGTCATTGACTAGGCTCAGGCTGGGGCTGACATCGCAGCCCACCCAGAGCTGGTATGACCTGGGCATGAGCACCTCAGTGAGCAGCTTCCCGTCCTAGGTGCGCCCTGATGTGCATCGTGTCTCCATGACCCTCTTTGGAGCCTCTGTAAAGGCCGTGAAACATGCAGACAAGAAGGGCGTCGAGAACCAAATCCTGGGCAGCCTGATCCCACTGCTTCTGTATTCTCAGGATGACATTGATGCCATAGCTGAGGTAATGTCTGCTGTCACCTTCTTCCAGCCCCACATAGCTACATATCCAGGGCCAGCTGTGCACATCAGCATTCATATCTTAGAAGACCAGGACTTTGTGGTACCATCTTGACTCCCCATTTTCCTTTGAACTATTGTGCAGTTAATTTTGCCTGAATGAATTGTGTACAAAATTACTCTTTATTTCCATATAACAAATGTGCATCCTCTTAGGAGAGAGCAGTTAGCCTAGTAACTTTCAGGCTAACTAGCCATCCATGTCCCGTGTGGGAGCACCTAGGTTTCATGCTCAGCTCTGGTTCCTCGCTCCAGCTCCCTGCTGATTCAGTCCCTAGGAGACAGCAGTTATGGCTCAAGTGATTAGGTCCCTGCCACCCACGTGAGGGAGCTGAGTCCCCAGCTGTCAGAGTCAGCTCTGGCTCTGCTGCATCTGTTGTGGGCATTTGGAGTGTGAGCCAGCAGAGGGCAGTGCCCCCTCTGCTCCTTTTTCCTTCTTTCCCTGCGTTTCAGATGGATAAAGGAAAATCTGCATGACCCTTTATGGGTAAGAATGAGGTATTTTCTCTCTTTGAATCCTTACTCATATATTCATCCTAGCACAGGCCCTAAATGTAGTGTTCAACTCTCCATTCTGGTGTTGTTGGTAACAATGATAACAAGGAGTCGTCCTTCTTTAAGAACTACCTTGTGGCCTTGAGACAGACAGGCTTGTGTTGGGGCTGTCAGAGATGGTAGCTTCTCCAACCATCTGGAAAGGATTTTGCCACTCCTTGGTTCTCTAAAGGTTTTGCCCCTAAGAATTCTGCTTTTCCATTTACATCATTCTAGTTTTGACTTGGTGATTGGTGGGAAGTTAGGAATATCACCATCTTAATACTTTCCCACATCTTAGGCGCCACCTTGTAAAGAGTGATATTTTATTTTTAAAAAAAGATTTATTTATTTTTATTGCAAAGACAGATTTATCAAGAGAAGGTTCCATTGCTGGTTCACTCCCAAATGGCTGCAATGGCCATAGATGAGATGATTTGAAGCCAGGAGCTAGAAGTTTCTTCTGGATCTCCCACACAGGTGCAGGGGCGCAAACATTTGAGACATCCTCTGCTTCTTTCCCAGGCCATAAACAGAAAGCTGGAATGGAGTGGAGTGGCTAGGACATGAATCAGTGCCCATATGGGATGCTGGTGCCACATTGTGGAGGATTAGTCTGTTGAGCCACAGTGCCAGCCCCAAAGGGGGATATTTTGTGGCTTCTATTACCATCAATAAATACAAAATACTCATACCTCAGGAAACAAATTTCCCAGCCAGGTGTGGAAGGAGTGCCCCCCGTAGGGATAGCGAACATGTAGAGGACCCACTCCCACGGCCTACAGTCAAGGCCTGGGATTTATTTTCCTGCAAACCTCAGATAACCTCTAGCTACCTCTTCAAGGCTACTCTGAAAGTGTCTTGACTGAGGGGAGGGGTTCTAGCAAAGAATGGGTTAAGTACTACTGGCACAGAGAACATAATGAACACCCACATAGCTGCCACTCTCTTTCAAAAACAATCCAGAAGTAAATCACCCTCCCATCTCTAGTTGAATTTCCCCAAGAACTAAGTACATTCCCAAATTGTTCTAATCATTTCTATGGTTCCATTTTTTTTTTTGTTTTAAAACTTTGCCTATGGTATAATTCTATAAATCCTTCAGCATCTTGATATGTTCAACATCATATTTAGATTTATCAATGTTCTACTTGTTAAGTTCATTTATTTTCACTGCTGTATAGATTCTGCAGTGTGACTAGCATGACAATGCTGCAACATAGCACAGATTTCCTTCTAGAGTTGCTTCCACCCAGCAGCACCACAGTCAGAAGTCAGAGCTGCACTTCCTGTGCAGAGTGGCACAGAAATGTCATGGGAGCAGGAAGTATTGCTGGAGCCCATGACTCGGACGGGAAGGTGGGGATTCTGGCCCAAATGCCCAGGGCAGGTGTCATCTCTGGTGGCTTTCACTGTGTCCTGACACCATGATGATCCTTTCCATCCTGCCCAGAACCTGGGACATTTTACAGATTCACTGTGGGGACAGTGGGGAAGCTGGAGGAGGAAGAGAAAGGAGACAGGATTCTGGCTCCTTTTCAGGTTCCCCCACACTTCCCCTGGGGTCACCCTGAGTCTGTCAGCTTTTCACCTTAGCCTTTTGTGCCTGTCTTACCGAAGAAGGGCTACCTTATCCAAAACGTGTGTGGAAAATGCTAATCTAGAATCATTTTTGTCACAGGAGAGCAAGCGAGTCCTCAGTATCTGTGCCACATTCCTCAAGTGGAAGCTGCCCCGAGCAGTATCCTGCAAAGACCCCTGGTACATCAGACCTGTTCAAGTGGGGACCATCTGCAAGTTTTTTGTATGTGAGCAGTGAGGGTCTCCTATATTTGCTGCCTGTTGAGTTTGTCCTTGCCTGGTTTTCAATGAAAGAATGTGGGGCCTAAGACACATTTCCCACCCTTTTCATACCAGCACTGGATAGCTGGGAACTGTTTTGCACTGTGGATCTATTTTTCCATAGTTCCTCATGACTATGTCACAAATTCCATTTTTCTTCACCACCCTTTATAAAACAGGCTGGTGAGCTCCTGGAGTCCCACTACCCAGATGAGCTGAGGTGGATTGATCCTGCAGAAAAACTTACCTGTGGGCTAGTTGAAACATAATTGTTTATTGCCATCACAGCTGCCCTGAGCCCTTTCTAAACATGTAGATGGATTCACTTCCCCTAGGAGTGTGTTCCGGGTGCTCCGCGGGAGGGCTGCCCTGTGGCCATGCAGATGATGGCAGCATGCTGCTGTTCTCTTGGGACCCAGCTGACAGCCTCTTGTCTTCACAGACAAGGCGCAGGTTGTCCTAGTTAAAGTCAGGTGCAGGCCTGAGCCATGACCCATCCCTTTTTTTACAGAAACTGATCCTAGAGCCACCTGGGTCTAAGGACAGAGCCTCAGGAATTGACTATTCCCTGGTCTCTTCCATAGGTGTAGCCTGTTTAGGACCCACAGGAGCCCTTTCTGATTGGACTTGCAAGGCTAGGAAGCTCCACATCTTCCTGGGGTTTCCCAGTCCCACGGGAAGTTTCTCGGCCCTGCAGCCAGATCTACAGCTGAGGCACTATGACAGTATTGCCACCAGGTCACTGAGTGTTCTAATATTAGGACTGCATAGTGTGCGTGTTAAATGAAATGTCCCTGTTTCTACCTCTGGCCTTCAACTGCCTGACCTTATCAGATCACCAGAGAGAGATAAACTCAGTAACCCAGAAGGTGTGACACATGCAGGACCCCAGGTCACAAATGTCCTCAGGGGAGCTGGCAAGCTAGGAAGGGAGTTAAGACTTCTGGGGAAAATTAAATAGAAATGCAAGTTAGGAATTGACCTGTGCCAAGATAGCATGCCTAGATAGAATGCCCAGAGTGGAGTGAAGTCAGTCAGGTGGATTATGTGGATGGAACTGTCATGAGGGTGGGGCAACTCTTCTGTCAGTGGCCTTTTGGATATCTGTAGCATCATTCCCAGGCCATACTAAATTACCAACTTAAAGCAAGAGCCTGTTGTAGATGTACTAAATTTTGAGTCCAACCTATGGCTGCCTTGAAAGAGTCAGATGAAATGGTTTGCACAGCCCGTGGGTTGGGCATTCCCCACCCTTGTGCTGGTAGGAAGTCACTGGTAATCTTTGTTGTGCTTATTCAAGCATTGCTCTACTCTGGGAGTCCCTGGCCCTGGGAGAACTCTAATGAGGCTCATCAAAATAGTGCTGCTACTTCACTGCTTTGTACTCTTTTTCCTACTTAGGGAAAAAAATGCAAGGGGAAAATTAACATCCTTGCCCAAACTTTGACGTACACCAAGAATGCCAAACTTCCCATCAGAAGAACAGCAGTTTTGTTTGTAGGTACAATGAAAATCCTTTCATTTGCTATAGTCATTCTTCATCCTGTGCTTTTCTGAACAGTGCTGTCGGGTATCCCCACGCTTAGAAAAGGACCTTGAAGCTGCTTTGTAGGAAACAGAGGCTGGGTTGCCTGTAGGTAACCACATGGCACCTGGAAATCCAGGTGTAGCCATCAGCAGCCTCCTTATTAAAGGCCAACTCTGTGAGCTGCTGAGATTTTTTTCAGTGATAGAAACCCTTGGGTATTAATTTCCAAGAGTGTAAGGCAGATCACAGCCTCACTGACTTTGTTTTGCATTTAGGGCTCTTTTCAAAATACATGGACAGCAGTGAGTTCAAGATGCAGGGCACTGAATGGATAGAGGATGGTGAGTACTGTAGTCCTGGCCTGGATTCAGGGGTGCCCATGTACCAGACGGCATATGAAGTGTGCCTGCAGCCAAGCTGTACCGCAGAGCTGAGGGTCTGGCATCCAAAAAGCCTGCCAGATGCAGCGTGGAAGCTCCTGGTGACTCCAGCCATGTAACACCTCATCCCAACCCGATTCTTCCTTTAAGAAAGGGTTTGACTCCATTTATCCAGAAAGTGACTTTGATGACTGTCTCAAGGAACAACTCTCCAAATTTACCTGTCAGGAAAAAAAAACATTACTCAGAAACACTATATTAATCAGTTAGGATGACATATCATGAGCATAGCATAGGATACAATAGCACTATATTTAAAAAAATATCCATTTGTAACTGACTATTTGAAAAGATCAACAGAGGGAGACAGAGACAGTGAGATTTTCCATCTGTTGGTTCACTCCCCTAATGCCTGCAACTATCAGGCTGGGCCAGGCTGAGCCTAGACCTCCCAGTGGGTCTCCCTTGTGGGTGGCAGAGGTCCAGGCACTGGAGCCATCATCTGCTACCTCCGAGGTTGCATTAGCAGAAAGTTGGCTTGGAAAACAGAAGTACTAAGATTTATAACCAGCTCTCTGATGTGGGAGGTAAGCATGCCAAGTAGTGACTTAACCTGCTACACCACAACATTCAGCTGTGCAACACTAATATTCTAGACACCATGGTCCCGTAGGGTGGTAGGACTTGGCAGTGGAGATGTTTTACAATCATACAGGTGATTTTTCTGAATTGTTAACAAATAAATTTTTTTTATAATTCTGCAATTGCAGGTTTAGCATTTTAAGAATTATTTACTCTTAAGTTTTCCAGGAGCTGGCATTTTGGCATAGAGGGTAAAGCTGCCATCTGTAATTCTGGCATCTATTATGGGCACTGGGTCAAGTCCAGCTGTTTCACTTCCAATCCAGCTCCCTGCTAGTGGCCTGGAAAAGGCAGTGCAAGAAAGAGAGAGAGAGAGGAGAGATTAGTTATCTGCTGGTTCACTCCCTAGATGGCTGCAATGACCAGTACTGAGCCAGGCCAAAGCTAGGAGTCAGAAACTCTATCCAGGTCTATCATGTAGGTGACAGGTACCCAAATACTAGGGACATCTTCTGCTGCTTTTCTCAGCTCATTAGCAAGGAGATGGGTTGGAAATAAAGCAGCCGGGACCCCAACTAACACTGTAATAGGATGCCAGCATTACTGCGGGTAATGCTTAATCCACTGTGCCACTGTGCTAGCCCACCAATACAATTTTTATTCATTTATTTATTTGAAAAGCAAATTTTACAGGGAGAGAAGGAAAACTAGATAGAGAAGGTCTTCCATCCAATGATTCACTCACATGGTGAGCTTAGTTTAGCTCCCTGCTGATGGCCTGGGAAAGCAGTCGAGGATGACCCAAAACCTTGGGTTCCTGCACCCATGTGGGAGACCTGGAAGAAGCTGGCTTTGGATTGGCTCTGCTCCCACCATTGCTACCACTTGGGGAATGCAACAGCAGACAAAAGATCTTTCTATCTCTTCTCATTATAAATCTGATTTTCCAATAAAATTAAGCACATATTAAAAAATAAAAAGAAAATGAGAAGTATTCTTGAGTGGAAAAGATAGGGAATTAAATCATAGTGTATCTGTATTGTAGAATCAGATATAGCCATACAAAATGTCAGAAGTTTTTGATGATTCAGATTAATGAAATAAGATGAGCAATTATTCCGTTTGGACAAAAAACTGAAAACATGGAGTTAGATGTTTGAATTTGGCATTAAGATCCTGGTTTTGACTCAAGTAACACCCTCGGAACTTTTTTCCCCACACTGGGGTCACTATCGTGTCATTAAATGACTGTCCACCTTCCCTAAGTGCTGGTATACTGTTTTTTTTTTTTTCTTAAATGTATTTTTTTATTATTGGAAAGCTAGGAATACAGAGAGGAGGAGAGACAGAGAGGAAGATCTTCCGTCCGTGGTTCACACCCCAAGTGACCACAACGGCTGGAGCTGCACCAGTCCGAAGCCAGGAGCCTGGAACCAGGAGCCTCCTCCAGGTCTCCCACATGGATTCAGGGTCCCAAGATTTCGGACTGTCCTTTACTGCTTTCCCAGGCCACAAGCAGGCAGCTAGATGGGAACTGAAACTGTTGGGACACCAACTGGCACCCATATGGGATCTGGGCACATGCAAGGTAAGGATTTAGCCATGAGGCCATCGTGCTAGGCTCAGTGCTGATGTAGTTCCTCAGCAAGGCATAACTCCCTTCCCTTTTCCAACCCACTGGAGACACAGGCAGGGGAAAAAAAGACACTGTAATATTTGTTCCACAAATCTTCCTACCTGATTCATACCTGATTCTCTCCCCTGCCCAAATCAGAGGCCCACAAGGAGTCTGTATCCCTCTATACTATGTAAACAATATTAAAAGAAAAAAACTTTAATGAAGGAACAAAAAAAAAAAAAAAGAAACTGCTGGTTCTGACACTGGCATTGAATGTCTGCCACTAGTTCCTGACTCCTTGTTAATTCAAACCCTGGTAGGCAATAGTGATAGCTCAAGTAATTGAGTTCTTACCATTCGTATGAAAACTGGGGCTGGGTTCCTGGCTAACAGTTTTGGCCCAAATGGAAGAGCTCTCTTTTTTTCTCTTTCATTGTTTTTTTCTCCCTCTGAAATAAAGTATGCAAATGTAAATAAATGCAGAGAAAAAATACCAGAAGATATATGTTCGAAATAGCAGTTATTTTAAGTCATAGTAATTATATCAAACTGTTACTTAGAATGCATATATCCATACTGAAGCCCTAATTCAAGACCCAACTCCTCTGCTTCTGATTCTGCTTCGTGCTAATCCGCCTGCCATGGCAGTGGATGATGGCCCAAATGCTTAGGTCGCTTCCTCCCATGTAGGAGAGCCGGGTAGAGTTCTTGGCTACTTGCTTCTGCCTGGCTCAGCCCTGGCTGTTAGTGCTTTGGTGGGAGTGCACCAGTGATTGGCAGCTCTCTCTCTCACTCTACTTTTCAAATAAGCAAATCTTAAAAAAAAAAAATTACACATAAGATTGGCACAAGACACAGGAACTTGGAAATTAACCTTAGACATGGCTTGGCATCTTCAAGTAATTCAACTTTCGGTAGATTATTTGAGATGAAAATTGGAATCCATCCACCAGTATACAAACTTTTAGGCAGAAACCCAGCAGAAGTTGGCCTCTTGCCTGCACTGTGAGAGGGGCAGGTTGGCTGTTTGTGGGCCTAAGGGCAAAACAGGCATATCCACAGAGTTTAGGGTCTTCCATCTGCTGTGATGTGGATTTTCTTGCTACCCAGATCTGAGAAGTCTGCTGCATGACCCCGAACCCTCTCTGCGCGTGATCGCCTCCCGGGCTCTGTTTCGAGTCCAGAGGGTGAGGATGCAGCCTGAGGCCGAGCAGACCATTTGTTGGCTGAGGAAGCACCTTTGCTGTATTCCTGCCTAGGAGTGCGAGGCAGGCCACAACTGGTAAGGGTTGAATCTCTTGGAAAGCACAGAAGCAACTACTCTCCCCACCTCTTTTTTTTTTTTTTCCATATTTAAGTAATGCCATTATGAAGTAAAGGACCAATCATTCAATCCCCTCTAACAAGCTTTTATTTTATTTTGTTTTATCTTATTTTTTGGCTGTCAAAACCCTCAAGGAGTTGGAATATACAAGGGAGGGCAGTTTTGGCTTAAATCTGTAGAAACTGAATAATCTGAGCACAGCAGAGTATCCATAAAATTCTGGTCTTGATGAACATGTCTGGGATTGCTTTAAAAGAGGCTCCAAGTACATGTTAATCTTATGACACTTAGCACTATTAGCCCTTCAGACCTGCAGATTTGTAGAAAAAAATTTCCTAATAAATTTTCAGATAAAGAGATTAGGTTGTGGTGGCTGAATATACTGGTTGGTGCACATGTAAGAGCAGGAAGTTGCCCAGAGTTACACACTGTAGTAATGAGGAACAGTCCCTGTCAGTCAAATTCCTGAGCTCCTGTTGGGCTGAGGAATCCCAGCAGAGGGCCCCAGCTCAGCTCTGTAGGGTGAGGAGAGGCCTGTTAGAATGGGCATGGGGAAGGAGCAGCTGGCAGCTGGCGAATAGAGAATGTTGGGTAGTGAAGCGAGCAAAGTGAGTGTTTAGCCACTTCCCTCCCTCTTTCAGAACACACCAGACAGTGCTTGGCTCTGTGATTCAGAGTATGCTGGATTTCTTGAGGGATGTGGCATTATGCCAAGTGGGGCTTCAAAAGGGAGCATCTACCAAGAGAGGTCTTTGTATCTGGGACCATCAGAGTTGACTAATGGAGATATTCACCCGGAAACCCAGCCAAAGACACCCCGTGAGGGAAGTTGCTCAGCACGAAGAGCACATCTGATCACTTGCATCTCTCCCCTGATTCTCCTTTATCTCACTAAGTGCTGCTAGCTCTACCCTCTCGTTCTGAGCTTCTCCATGTTGTGGCTTATGCAGCAAAAATAATGTTGAGTTCTCACATTAAGCTTCTCACAATAAGCACAGTGTGTAATGAGCTCTCAATCCTTGTAACCACTCCAGGTAGTATTATCTCCATTTTGTAGACGAAGAAGCTGTGGAATCTAACATCAAACTGACTTGCCCAAGGTCACACAAGGAGAAGACGGCCTCACTAGGATCCAAAGCCAAGTCCATGGCTCCACAGCCCACATGCCTACTGGTCTGCTCTGCTCTTCTCCAGTGAGTTCTAGCGAGATGGCCTCTGCAGTGAGCCTCACTTGGGACCTCATAATCTGACCAGTGTTGGAAAGTGATAACACACTTCAAATAGCTCATTCAATGCAAAGTTTAAGTGCTGCTTATCTACAAGTTATTGGTGTACTTCAGCATTGAAATAGAGTGATATACATCCTACACTATCCAGTGGTGTTAAAGCAAAGACTAGGGGTTATTCTTCACGAATGCTGTTGGAGTCTCTGGGATCATAAGAGTTGAATTAATCCTTGTCTGTTATCTTATATTTGTGAATCCCTTTCCCTCCAGGAAGATTGCTACTTTTTATCTGATTTATTTATTTACTCCATTCTACTTGTACTTTTTTGTGTTAAAATTCTCAGACACATCCTATAAGAAGCCAAGTCTGTTCTTTACTGAGTGCCTCAGCAGTTGGGATGGGCTAACAAAGTACTCCACAATAATTCGAGTAACAAGTTCATTTAGGAAATAACTCTGTTACATGTGTACAAGACCCTCCTTGATGACTGGCTAATTTTCATGAAAATTTTAAACTTCCAGACATGAAATTTTGTTTTATTGAAATAAAACTTCAATATAAGAGGCTGTAATTTTTATTTTCTTGACCTAATATTATTGCAAGGCATTGTTCATTATCTATTACTGACCCACGGTTGTCTCTTATTATTTCAGATTTTCACCCTTTCTTGAGTATTGCTTTTTCGTCTTATACATGAGATGCTTTTTTTTTAAAATGTGGAAACAGTGGTCTTACCCACTTTTCTGTAGCCCTTGACCCTTTGTGCTCTAATCAACTATGTAAAGATTACCAAAGTAAAAGAATTTTTTAAAAATTAATTTATTTTGATGATCTTTACAGAGTTGGTTAGGGCTCAAAGTGTTGAGGGCTACAGGAAAATTGGTAAGACCATTGTTTCCACATTCTCTTTTTTGCCTTCCTGTATCTGGGGGAAGGGGAGAGAGAAAAGGAGAAGCCACACCTACCCTCCCACCCATCCCAGTTCCCCAATATGGAACATGCTCCGAGGGCACTGCTCAAGTGGTTTTGACAGTTCAACTGTTCTGAATTGCTGCCAGTCTCATCATTCCAAACACAATGAAATCTCTTCAGAATCCACTGACTGACATAGTCCACCTTTGAGTCTCCATTTGCCCAGCTTTTTACTGCCTATACATGGCTGTGATAGTTGATTGACTTATTCTATCCTCTGCAGGTGTCCTCTGCAGGCTCCAATGTACTACCATATCCTGCATGTGCACCTGGATGTGCTGTCCACTGCTTTGTCTGAGCCACTGAGGAGGCTCAGCTTTGACACACACTCCACAGTCGGACCATGGAACCTGCAATTCTTTTTATGGTTGGGGTTATGAGTCCAGCAGTTTGACTGGGGGAGGAATCCCCAAAGAAACTTCATCTAAAGTGATTCCAGACCAGATTCTTGGGTATGCTTGCTGGACAAGGTCCAGCACAGTCTGTCGCCCCTGTCAGCCTATGCATATGCTGGTGGTTGCAATTGCTGAGTCAATTCTGCCTCCATCCCCATCTTCTACACAAACCAATGGGTGTTGGGGCCCATCCCAATCCTGCCTACCACACACTTGGCCATGTAAACAGTGGGAGCTGCAGCCCAGTTGGGGCGACTCCCAATAACCCTCACTAGTCCCATCCCTTGCCCTGGTTCCCGTACTTGCCAGTATGTACAGCAGACTGGTTCAGGTTGTCTCACATCCCATTGAGCTCTCATACATGTCAATGGACATTGCAGCCTAGTTCAACCTAACCAACCCCACTACCCAGCCCACACACATGCCGACAGGTGCCACTCTCTGTCTAGCCATGCCTGCCCCAGTCCTGGTTCTCATGCTAACCAGACAGAGTGGTAACCCAGGAAGGTAGTGCCCAGTGTTTCCTACTGGGCCTACTCCCACTCCCGGATCATGCACTTTCCAGCTGGTTCTGCAGTTTAGCATGACAAAATTACCCCCAGTGCTAGCATGTGCTAGCTGATGCTGCAGCAGAGCCCAGCCAGCCCATATCCACTCTGACTTATGCTTGCACCAGTAGGAACAGTCCACGCAGGTTGGCTTTTCCCTGGTCCAGCCCATATGGGGTCAGCAGGTGTTTCATCCCTCCTCAAGGATGCTGATGCATTCTCAACAAGCAGGGAAGGGACTGGAAGGAAAAGGGAGTTAGATGAAAAGGCAGAAAAGGGCTTTGTATTTGACACAGTGCTTAAGAAGTCTGGGGACTCTTACATCTGTTAAGCGTACTGGAGTGCCTGGTTCAAGTCCCAGTTGCTCTGCCTCTGATCCATGTCCCTCTGAATGCACCCTGGGAGGCAACAGAAGATGGGTCAAGTGCTTGGGTCCCTGCCACCCCGTGGGAGATCTGCGTGGGTGGTGTTTCTGGCTTTGGCTTGGCCCAGTGCTGGCTGCTGGGAACATTTGGGCATTTAAGTAGATGAAGATGAATAAACATTTTTAAAATTAGAAACTACTAAGTGGAAAGGTGAGAAAACACTGCAGATCTATATAGCACAGGGTCTGTGCTATATAGATGCTATTGTCCACTGTCTAGGACACTGTGATGATTTTCAATAAAATCTTCCTGCAGCCCCCTTCAAAAGATCAAAGTAAACATGCAGCCAGTTTTGTTCTCGGCCTTTGTTAATTGCATCTGCTGCTGTTCCAGGGTTTGAAAGACTTCAGCTTTCCCCTTGGGCTGGCTGAAGGTGCTAAGCCTGTCTTTGAACCAGTTGCCAACCAAACCAGAACAAGCCATGCAAGCCTGCCAATGTAAGGTTAGGTTGCTAGATTTTTAGCTTTCAGGGAGGCCAGGACGCCAGTTAAAGGAGATAAAATTTTATTTTAGAGATGTATGTACGGGGGAGGGGGGATGTTGTAGACAGTGGGGGCTGGGCCTGCCAGGAAGAGGTGGGGGGCTCCAAAATCAGGCTTCCTTCTGTTGGAGCAGCAGGCACAGTGCCTTCTTTAGCTGCTTGTCAAGGCAGGGCGGAGAGCTCACAGGGACTTTGAAGAGCTGGGTGGGGGAGGTGCCGAGAGTCTCCTGGGTGAAGTTGACAGCAGTCTGGAATGGTCAGGTGCAGCGTTTCCCCAGGAACAAACAACCCTCACACAATCTTTGCATTAATTTCCTGTGCCCGGTTTCATGGGGCCTAGAGCTCCAGGCTCCGTGACCTGACGGGTATTCTGTCTGGTCACTGAGGTGGCCTATTGGGTTCTAAACACCTCCACGGGCCAGTCCCTCCCAAATCACAGGGCCACTGGCACCAGGGCGGCACCGCGGGCTTCCAGGCAGGAGGACGCGAACAACCCGGGCGCGGCCGGAGGATCCCTCCGCTCCTCGGGCCCCTCCGGCTGGGGCCGCGAGCTCGTGTCGGGCGTTGACAGGACCCGCGAGAACCGTCTTCTTATCATACACACCCGCAGAGGGATAGTTAGGAGCTGCAGAGAAGAAACGCACTTTTTTTTTTTTTTTTTTTTTGGCCGAGTAAGCGCGGAAGCAGACGATCCGAGAAGACGCCGTTCATTCGCCTGATTTTCGCGCGCTTTGGCGCGGGGTGTTCTGGGTAGAGTACCCGGGAGGGAGAAAGGCACCGGAGGGCTGTGGCGCACCGCCCGCAGGGTCTGCGGGGATGTTCGAGAACCAGTCCGACGCCGAGGAGGGGGCGGCGGTGCTTGTCGCGGCCGGGCAGGCGCTGCAGGCCCTGTGCCAGGAGCTGAACCTGGACGAGGGGAGCGCCGCCGAAGCCCTGAACGACTTCATCACCATCAGAGGCAACTACAGCCTAGAGGTGAGGGGCGGCAGGTGGGGGCGGCCGGACGACCCTCCCCGGGCCCCGCCCCGCCCCGCCCCTACCCCAGCCCATGGGGCGGTGGGAGCCTTTATTTGCCACCGGGCTAGGGGCTCTGCCCTGGGCGGGCTCCGAGGAGTGCAGACCCGGACGGGTGGGTGCAGGTCAGCTGGCCCACCCATATTGTGTATGTTGTGTGTGGCGGGAAACGGAAGCCCAGAAAGACGAGCGGCTTGTCCAAGCTCCCGCGTTACACAGGGGTCCCCGGACGGCGGGCAGCAAGATGAGAAGTACCGCCGCTCCATCCAGTGCCACATGCTTGCTGGCACTGCCCTTAAGTCGATAGAAACAAATGGAGTCCGGCTTGGAACCTGTCCTACCGGAGGAACCAAAGCCCCGCCCCAGCC